AAAATTACATAATGAATCTTCAACCAAGTAAATATATTTGAGCACAGATGTCATTAAACAAACTCCAAGAAACTTTGTGCTAATTCTAAAGCTACGCAAGATATTTTTCTAGAACTGAAAGCAAAGGACAACTTCTATCACAAAAATTTACCAAGCAGCAAGCGGCCAAAAAAGCCAAGGGCAAACCACAGCACAAAAACACACGATGAAAAAAGTGCCTTACCTTTGTTGTTTCACATCAAAAGAAGTTGTAGTTTTCAGGTGCTTCAGTCATTTTAAAACGCGAACTAAATGATGAGATGAATTGATAAAACAGGAAACACATGGACCTAGCTTCACTTTTGAAGATTTGTCAAAAAGTGCCTCATTTTTGATCATTTCTGTACTCAAATTGCCTTCACAAAGCAGCTATCCCACTTCAATGCTTGCAGGTTTTGATGATTTGAATGCTATATTGCGGAACATTCCCAGCAAAGCAAAGCAAAAACAAAATTATATATCCAGAGAGACAAGTTAAAACTACAAATTGCACCTTGCAGCTAATAGGGTGACCATATTTCCATTTGTGAAAACCCGGACACCTTACTGGGGTGGGAGGTGAGGCCTCCATATTGAGCTACAGTCGACCCTCGCTATATCGCGGTTCACTTTTCGCGGTCTCGCTGATTTTTTTTTTAACCCATGGGTGGGTCAGGACTAAACCAGGTCTAAACCAGGACTAATCTTGGACTTAAAAGAGAGAACGCCGAGCAGTTTGTCTGCAAAGCGCGATCAGACAATTGCCGCGTTTATCTCCGTGAGGTGTGGAGCTCTCCATCGGTCCTTTCTCCTGCAGTCACCTCTGGCCCATCCCGACACTGACTCCTGGTTCAGTCCTGATTCACTCCATGGTTCAGTCCTGGTTCAGTCCATGGTTCAGTCCTGGTTCACTCCATGGTTCAGTCAGTCTGGTTCAGTCCATGGTTCAGTCCTGGTTCACTCCATGGTTCAGTCCTGGTTCAGTCCTGGTTCACTCCTGGTTCACTCCATGGTTCAGTCCTGGTTCAGTCCATGGTTCAGTCCATGGTTCAGTCCTGGTTCACTCCATGGTTCAGTCCTGGTTCAGTCCATGGTTCAGTCCTGGTTCACTCCATGGTTCAGTCCTGGTTCAGTCCATGGCGTAGGCAGCGCAAAAGCTTGATATAATCACGGGTTAACGGGCGGGTGTGGTGTTGTACTGCAGGTCTCCAAAAATGGACCCGTGCAGGACTCTGCGCTGTAGGGCTCTATTACGGAATAAATGAATCTTGGGTTCGTTACATAAAGAAGGAGGAAAATAACAAAAGGACGACAGCAGCAATAAGTTTTAAGAAGGATGCAAAAAGGGTTGTAACTGTCCTGTGTGAGAAAAGTGTATAAAGTGTGTGGTGAGGGGTTTTACAGCTTTAAAACAGATATAATCATTGTAAAATATAAAGTTGACTACTTCGTGGATTTCACCTATCGCGGGTTATTTTTAGAATGGAACCCCCGCGATAAACGAGGGACCACTGTACTCTCACTCGCAACCTGTGCACATGGCCTCCCACTTGTCCGGACCGGGATGGAAAACTGAGAATTTCTTGTACAAGTCATTGTTAAATGCGCATTTACGCTTCGGTATGTTGCAGGCTGACTGACTGTTTGTGTTTGCTCGCTCCTTCTGAGTCACAGAGAACTACGAAAGCCGATCAATTTAATGCCCCCAATAAACTGTAATGAAAACCCGGACATTTTCACCACTTAAAAAAAAAAAACGGACGCCCAGAACAAGACGCAAAATACGGACATGTCCGAGGAAAAACTGACATTTGGTCACCTTAGCAGCTAATCCACTTCAATGCTAGCAGCTCTTGTTTTAGCTGGTAACACTTTATAATAACTACACCTTACTTAGCCTTAATAAAGCATGAACAAAGACTTAATAAATAATGAACAAAGATTTAATTAATAATGATTCACGCTTAGTAAATGCTTAATAAAGCATAATTCGTCTTCACTTTAGAAAAGCTCTCAAAAAGACTTAACAGATAACAGCTGCCTGAATTATCATTGCATTGCATTATTAGTAAATCATTCTCTCATAGCTTACTAATGGTTAATAAATTCTCAAATGGTTAGTCCATGAGTAATTAAGTAAGAAATAATTATGAGTAACTATTTACAGCACAGGCAAATTAAGTGCAAGTGCTAATTAAGGTAGTAATTAAGTAGTTACTAAGCGTGAATCATTATTAAGTCTTTGTTCATTATTAATGAAGCCTTTGTTCATGCTTTATTAAGGCTAAATAAGGTGTAGTTATTATAAAGTGTTACCTTTTAGCCTTATTTAAACTGCATCACTTCTCAGCAGGAGTCATTGCGCCCTCTGCTGTTCAGTTTTCGCTTTTCTCTCTGTTTAGTTCTAATATAACGGTCTGATTGCAGAGTTATCGGAGCCATGAGTAACTACGAGGAGTTCAGTAAGGCCTTCAGCTGTCCGCAGTCCTCCGTGATGAACCGGGGGGCGCAGTCCTGTCGTGTGTGGTGACCCCTGACCCCCGACCTCTCACCTCAGCTGCAGCGGCCGCAGTTTGATGTTTACAGAAGACGGAGCCCCACTGTCCCTTCAGAACATTCAGATCCGAACGCACAAACTTGGAAACTTCTTGGAAAGAGGAGACGAAAGGACTAGAGACATATTCTGTTATTTTGTTTACTGTAAAGCAACACATGAATTTTTATGAGTTTTTATAATTTATGTTTTAAAAGAATATTGTAAAGATATAGTACTATAAATTATACATGTTTACATGATTTTAAGTTTATATAATAATATGCAAAAACAGCTCTATGCAACATGATAAAAACTGTATATTGTCCCATAACTTTGTATTACATGCTATGCTTTTTGTGACATAAATTACTTTTACATATACTGTGGGTTTACCATTTTGGAGTATAACTTGAATTAAAGGTCCACAAATTGAAATACTCAGCCTAAATATGCAGGATTTGTGAGTTAAACATGTATGAATGAAACAAAACACAACTCCAGGTCTGTTTTTGGTGAGGAAACATAAAACACACAATATCATAATATGGGCCCTTTAATTTACACATTTTTGCTTATTTTTAATTCTTATGATTATTTTGTGACTGAAAAATTATTGATTATCCAAATACACAAAAAGTTTCTATATAAAATTCCTAGATGTGTAGTGACATTATACTTTGATATACTCCCTTATTGTAAGCGGTAATGTCCATATTGAATGTTCATATTGCTGTCCATCCTAAAAATAACTAAATTAAACCTATACATTACATTTCTTTTCATTTGTTCATTTTATACCAGTGAAATCATTTTAATTCACCTCTGACTGCTTGTGTTCCTTTTGGCTTTCTATTATTCACCTTGAGTCGCCTCTGCTGAAAAACCAACTCTAATCACACTCTGAGAGAACGGACTGTCCCACTTCTCTTCAGTCTCTTGATTTCTGGAGAGATACAAATAAATAAATAAACTCAGCGGGACTGAGATGGGAACAGCACATACCGTAGTAAGTCTGATCCGATTTCTGACCCCAGACAGAAAGTTGTATTGCTTTACCGGAAATATCCCACTGTATGGCTTTAAATACATCCATCTGGAAACAGCATAAAGTCACTAGACGTTATAGGTAAGAATCTTGAAGAAGTAGATGGAGTTAGAGAGATTTTGAGCAATACCAACACCTATAATAATTAACCTATAATAAACCTGTAATTGATTAAAAGCAAAATAGATGTTTCAATAATGCCACACTGTGAAACATTCCAGATGGAGCAATAACATCCCCATGGAGACAAGCAGGTGGAAGTAAAGTTGCATCTTTAAGCTTATTCAGACTGTACTATATATAGCACCATCTTGTGTTCATTGCTGTACACTGTCCCACATTTTCCAATTGTTTGAGTGAATGTTTTAGTTGCATTGGACAAGGCAGTCGGGATGGGAGATATGAATTTATGTTTTTAATGCAGGGTATCCCCAGGTTTGACTGCTCCAAATTTAAGACTTTTTAAAGGCCTTTTTAAGACCACTTAAATGAAAATTAAGACCAACATCACACCCATTATGCGGGTGAAAAACTCCAGAGCCAATACTAATAACGACCAAACAACTACGGTAGTATATCTAGAATCCAACAGCCACTGTGGATTAAACCTGCACTTCCCCATGATCCATCCCAAGTCTTCCTCCACTCTGATTGTTTACTCATTGCCACCGGCGCCAAACCAAAGTATTGTTTGTGTATACTCCAAATTAGACGTTCATTCATGTGATTTCATGTTGTTATTGTTTTTTCCTTCCTCCATTTAACGTTGCTCTGCAGCCCGGTTGAGTATACAGAAAAATAGGCTAATGAAATTTAAGACATCTGTGAAAAAAATAAGACTTGGACAACATAATTTAAGAATTTTTAAGGCTTAATTTAGGAACATGAAATTTAAGACCTATTTAAGACTTTTAAGACCCCGCAGCTACCCTGTAATATATATATTTTTTGGAGACGATATCCACTATTTGGCCTGCTGCTGTGGCCGATATTTAGCTTTTTAAATCCATAGTGTGACTCCAAATTTATCTGAAGTTAAATTAACAATCAAAAATTAACTTTTCACTTTTGTATAAATAATAACAAACTGTATTTTACTGGGATATAAAATGATTAGTTAAATATTTCGGTAAACATGCAGCCATATGACGCTCTTCTATTTGCATTTTGACTCATGAGTCTGTTCAAAGAGGGCACCCAGAGAATGAAGCAATGCAAAAAATATCAAAATCAAATATTGGTATCGAGTATTGGCTGAGACCGATCTAGAATAATCATGCTGGAGCGGATACACTCTGCCGATCCTACGAGGCAGATCAACTTGAAAAGAGAATTATAGTAACTATTTCACAGAAGACAGCTACAAAAACTACTGTACGACTCAGATAAAAGTCCTTTTTTTTATTAACCACATTTGGTAGCACTTAAATTAAACATTTCACAAGCTCATTCAGTGAACATTTACATCTCGACCAAAAGCGAACATGGATGAATTATGAAAATACAAGACAAACTGGAATCACCAATACAAAATGTCCATAATGTAAATGAGACCTTCATTCACAGTTTATGGTTACTCATATGTTACAGAAATGGCTGAAGCAGATCCATGCAACACATTAAAGCACTTATTTTGTATTTACTCCTTTTTAAAGTCTTTAAGTTTCACAGCAGCGACTTTTGTACAAATATGATAAACAGCTTCCACAAGTTTAACAGGAAATATGGCGTTAGGATAGCTGCTCAACAAGGCCCAGTACTAAACATAAACTGTGAGTTGTCTCAAGATTTCAAACAATACTCTTTATTTGTCTATGGCTCATTTATTTTGTGTGACTTTACCAGTTTTGTGTAAAATTAAAGTGGGACTAAACACCCACCTAAACAACAATCACGTATCAAATAGAGCTGCTAACTTAGTAGCACCTGAAGGACTTAAAGGGGAGAGTGACAGAGGACGAGAGGCGAGGTCTAGAGAAATAAAGAACAGTGAGATTGGTCGACAAGGTATTCACACTTCAGACTCCGCCCCTGCAGTGCTTTAATCATGGCAGTTCTGAGTGATATCACATAGTACTTGGAATTACAGCACACACTTTGTCGACTGTTTTCAACCGGAAAGCTGCAAATATGTCTACACCGGAAAGCTGCAAATATGTCTACAGTACAGTACACAGTGCTATTGAAACACCATATAGACCGTTTAGTAGCAAAAAAAAAGTTGAGTAAGTGTTCAGTCCCACTTTAACTATTGTCAGTCCAGCACATGAACACATCGAACTTTGTGCACTAATAAATGGATAATGGTTTAATGTTTTATAGGCATCTAAGTGTACATCTAAGGCTTGCCTTCTTATATCGAATTAATTTTTTGCAGCCGCTAAAATGAGCACTGTATTTTTTGGACTATAAATCACACTTTGTGTGACTTACACTCCGGAGCAACAAAAAATATGGTAGCTCTGCCATTTTCATTTTGTGAAAGTAGCTCAGCTCACCGAACGCAAAAAGTTAAGAACCCTGGTGTAAAGCATAGTACCATTGTACCATTTTATATAGTAAATACAAACTTGGGTAGAATTGGCAATATGTTTTAATTAACTGATGAGATAGTGTGTTACTATGAAGCCATGACAATCCAAACCTGTGAACACCTGGTAATAATGAACAGGAGTAACACAGTTTTATAGTACAGGGCCTTGTTGTCCGTTTAAAAACATCATCCACTGAGAGTAGAGACAGTCTGTTGATACAAAGTCCCATTATAGTGCTTTATTTTAAGTGCATTATCTGAACATGTGCTTTTGTTGATGGCGAGTGGAAGTAACTGTTCGTTTACCATTTCCCTGTTGGTCCCTTTTTGTGTTCAAAGGCAGAGGTCCTCTTCTCTAACAGTGTCCAGACAAAATGGCAGCACTTCTGGTATCACAGAGTCTTTTTTGTTTGTCCCAGTACAATCACAGTTGAATGGTCCGCTAGCCTTCAAACGCAGTCTATAAATCTCCATTACGGTACAGTTTTTTTCCCTTTAGGCTGGAGAAGTTTACCTTGCCGTGACCATCCATAGGCCCAGAGCTACGTTGGCCGCTAGCAGTGCGCTCCCCGCCAGCAGCAGGAAAAAGCCAATCAGCTCGCGTTTCTGCCTCTCGGTCACCACGGTAACCAGCGTGGCCTCCAACAGGGCGTTCAGCATCCATTGCCCGTCCAGAGCGAAGCACGGCACTGAGTTCACCACAGCCAGCGCCCCGGACAGTGACACCACATATCTGAGAACAGCGGGTTAAGGACAGAAGGACAATGGATATTAAATGAAGAGAGAAAGGGAGAAAGCTGAGGGGGTGAGGAAGAGGACAGAAGCTAAAAACAACTGGAGAGGAGGTAGGGGGAGAGAAAGTCAATCAAAGAGTCAAATCTAGTCTCTATATCTATCTGTTTGGCATCATTTTAGTACTCTCAAATAAACAAGTCACCCAGTAATACTATTAAATGAACAGCAGTGTATAAATGTGGTTTACATTATATATTTTTTCCCCATAGACTAGAAAGCTTATTCAGAGCTAATCGGCTGTGTGGTAACTAAAGAGCAGATGACCTATAATTTTACATAAAATCTATTTCTGAAACTTTATAAAAAAGCTAAATTATTCAAGTATTTTCAAGCAAGTCTTGTGTCTTAACTGTGCTTTTTTTAAAAAGCTATATTAGGCTGTCGTCAGACTGCAGGGCTTAAGGCTCAATTCAGATTTTTTGTGAAATTCGATTCATTTATTTTTTTTCACATTTCCATTTAAATGCGACCTGTATGTGATCTCTAGTGTGAACTTAAAATGCTCCAATAGTGTCCCACATGTGCATTGGAGGACATGATGACGTCACATGCAGCGAGTGTGCTCAGGGTTTATGGAAGTAAACATGGACGAGAGCTTTGAGTGCCGGGAGATATTAAAGTTGCTGTCGTACCGAAGCCAGAACAGGCTGTTGTCTGAACATAGCCTAAGTTACCACATAGCTGGTTAGCCTCCACAATTCCTTTGAACTCTTGATATTTAAATGTCTATGGGGAAAATGAATGGAGAATTTACTTCAGAACCGAAGCAGGTGGTCACTGTTGAGCTTCATAGAAATGTTTGATCAGTGGCTAAAAGGATACTTGCAGAAAGTCTCCAAGAAAACAGGCAGGTCCAGATGGAGAAAACCAAACCGAGGAACAAAGTTGGTCAGACTCACTGAAAGAAAAAGACCAAGTTACAAACCTTCAAAAACATACAAACTCAAGTACAGTATGTAACTTTCTGGAGGTGGCATGTGGCCTGTATGATTCCATGAAAATAGAAAGTTAAAACCACACTTTGGAACATTCTCAAGTTAAATACTGTGGAAGTTTATAACCAAAGGAACTGACAGGCCCTCCTCCAGGCCAAATAAAAGTCAAGTTTGTGGAGATGCAAGTCCACTCAGAGTAAAGAGACAGGTTTTTCAGTCCAATAAAAAACACACACATTAATTTCAGTCTATGAGCTAAAAAGTTATATACTGGGGCTTTAACCCTTATATTGTGTTCGGGTCAAAACTGACCCATTTTCAAAGCTACCATTTGCTTTTTTGTACTGGAACGAGGATTCATATAATCCTCAGACACAACTATTTTAACCCAACAAAATTAATTTTCACAATTTTTGTAAATTGTAAAGGTCTCAAAAAAAAAGTGACATTTGAGGTGTTATGGGTCAAAAATGACCCGGCAGAGAATAGTGGCTGCACTGTAAACCCAAATTAGTAATCATTATTAAAACCGCGCATGGTAAGTGATTGCACTGGGATGTCTAGTTTTTACACTATCAAGCAATTAATTAATTAATTAGCAAGGTCAATTCCTTTCATTACCAGCAAAAGTTCATCAAAATATGATCTAGGGTACAGAGGTTGTAAAAAGGTTGTAGGCGTTTTGCACCGAGGTTGTGGACCCATCCACTGACAAAAAAAAGTGACAGGCCTCCAAACGTTTGTACGTCTTCATCTGTTGTCTGGTGTAGAACTGTCTGGAGAAGTAGGTAGTTTGTGATCTCCTCTGCGTCGATTGTCGGCAAATCTTTTACGAAAAAGTCGAAAATTCACTCATTTTTATAATGGGGTCACGTCCAATTTATTTGTCAGCTAACCAATAAGAACTCTTCTCCATATCTGTATTTTCCAGAGCTGTGTTTGTCGTGTTTGTCTTCACTTTCTGCCTTCCACCTAAAATTTGTGCGTCATCGTGATCACGTGACTGAAACCCTCGGAACCACTGCGGCAAAAGTTTGGATGGCGTTTGTGTCCGTGGAGTAACGACACACCGAGATGACGGGAAAAGCCGGGAGCAGCTGAAGTTTGTGTTTTCTTCCCAAAGACGTAAATCCGTTGGCGTCTCTGTCCAATTAGAACCTTCCCCAGACGCTCACACACATTAAATAAAGACGACTTAATGAGTTTTCCATCTACACCTCAATTCAGAATGATTATTTCCACGTAAACACCAAGGAGAATATTTTAAGTCCAAACTATTTAATTCAGAACAATTAAAAAACATCATGTGAACGTGGCCATTGTGTTCTAACAGTGAGTTTTTTAATCATTTCAATACCAGGTTCAACATTTGTGCGTTTACCTTTTGGATATTTCGTGGCAAAGTACAGTGTGATAAAGAGTAGAGGGATGTGCAAAAATATTGAAATATCGATATATCGTATCGTTTAATGTGATGGTACAGTATCGATATCGTGGGCTGCTGTATCGATATATCACCAAGAGCATTTTTGGTATGTTTTATTAAATGATTTTGTTACAGCTACAGTTTTGTTGTGTGTTTAGTGGAAGGAAACTCGTTTATGTGACACGTTTGACATTTTCGCTGTTTTGATGATTAAAATGTTTGTGTTTCAGATGAACTTTGCACAAGAAGTGGTTTAACAAAGACTTTCCATGATTTAGCCTTTATTTTTTACTGAACCGTATCGAATGGAATGTGCACTGTATCGAGGTTTGTATGGTATCAGCGACTTCTTAACAACACTCGGCCACAGTCAACAGGAAAGCTGCAGCTTAACGTGAGACCTGGCACTGCACCCAGTGGGATAACACTCGACCCCTTACTCCCACGTGAAACCCAGACATCCGTAGATGAACAGGATGAAGACTCGGCACCAGCCGAACAGAGGACTCAGAGCTCTGGTGCTACATCTTTGCCGGAGTCCACATCTGCCTCTTCAGCCTCTCTGGATCAGGAGGAGCAGGAGAGGGTCCAGCGGCTTCGAGAGAAACTGGCTCAAAGCTGTGCACCTTGTGTTCAAAATTGGAGGAAGCAGAAAGTTTCAGAGCTGAATCTGGGTAAGCTCTGGTCCTGTAACCCGTGCAGTGTACCCCTAGAGGATGAACAGGAGGAAGATGTCTCGATTTTGGACCCCAGAGCTCAAGTCTCTGCTACATCTCTGCAGGAACAGCAGAGGGATATGCAGAGTGAGCTTCAAACAAAGCCACTCTCCACTGAGAACCTGTCTGCAGGTAATCAGGAAGAAGTGGTCAAGGCAGCTGCACAGGACAGGTGAGTGCCCAAAGGACCAAGCTTCAGACGGTACATCAGGAACTGGTCCAGAGCTGTGCACCCTGTTACCAGAATCAGCCTAAGTCTGAGACTGAGACTTTTGAGACTGTGTGGAGCGCTTCAAAGAGCACACACCTCTGCTGTTACCCACATCATGCTGTGGAACCAGAGGAGAAGGTCTCAACTGTTCCAGATCAAGACCCAGGACAGACCTCGCCCACCTCCAGCACCAGGTCTGCAGTTGAACAGGTGAAGGAGATCCTGGAGGAGGCAGCAGTGAGGGTCACTAAATCTGCGTGCCTCAGCAGAGAGGAGTGGCAGGAGCTATTGGACAGTGTGAGCTCCAACAGTGACGAGGCTGCAGAATCTATTATCAGCATCATCTGTGATGAGATGGGTTCCTCTCACCACAGCAGCTCCCAGGGCTCCAGTCCTGTCGATTTCTCTGGCAAAATATCCTGTTCATATGGAGTTTTACACAGGATCCAGTCTTTCCTCACCCTGTGTTATGCTAAGACCTGCTTTAGACGGCACGTGGTGGAACTCGCCAGAGAACGTCAAGTCAGTGTTGACCTGGACACGATTGTGGAGGACGCCTCTGCTCCTCTGGAGAAGCTGGTCCAGCTGTCTCCAGACATCCAGGAGGGCAGTTTCTATGAGAGACTGTCCCGGGACATCTCCAACGGGCATCACAAAGACGTGAGCCAAGACCTCGCTCTGGTCATGGCCAACCACATGAGCCCCAAAAGCTCTTTTGGAATCTGAAGATTTGATCGGAAAACCCAAAGTACAGTCTCCAACTTCATGATCAGCCTGCGCGAGTGGCTCAGCGCACAGAATCACCAGCCCTCAAAAACAGATCCAGTCAGAAGGTCCCTTCATAAGATCCACAAAGTGGAAAGCTCTCTGTCCCTGCACCAGGACCAGACCACCCCAACTGTCACAAGTCCCCAAGGCTCTCCTGGACATTCTCAGTGTGAGTGGGAGGCAGAACATATCTGGAGCTTGGCTTATGAGGTGAGCAAGCGCGTCCTTCAGACCAAAAAGGTGTTTGAAATGCGCTCCATGGTCATCAAACTGGTTGAGCTGCTGCAGTCAAACATGTGGGGATGGAACGTGAAGGTGAGACCTGACAGAGAGAACATCGTGGAAGTTGCGGAGGCCGTGTACAAAGACCTGTGCACAGGCTTCCCAAAGGAATTTGTTAAATTCAAGGACTTCGTCAACGAGGATAAATTTTTACAGACCACGATGGACACCATCCGGAGACACCTGGTGACGCCACAGAGAAGGAGCAGACTCAGCCCCTTCTGCCGCGCACTGCACCGCATTTTCTGCAGGTCCTGTAGGGGGCGCTAGCTCCACACAGGTCCTGTAGGGGGCAGTAGACCGAGCCCCACAGTAAACACCCCCTGGAACATGCTCCTCTGCACCGAATGTTCTTGATCCGATGGAGAGGAGCGGAACAGAGTAGAAGTTCTTTGGTGAAGGTGTTTAATGAGAGCAAATGTCTCCTCTGCACCGGGTGACCTTCATCTAATGAAGAGGAGACGTCATGTGGAGCTGTTTTTACTTGACAGAGCGGCGGATGTTGAAATACTCTTACTGAATACTGAAAACTAACAAAAATGAATAAATAAAAACAATACATTTAAAACAAATTTCTCTCATCACAGAGTATTCTATTGTTGCTTCAAAATCACAAAGTATTTTCATTATTTTTTTGGGGATTGTTTGTTTGACAAGTATCCAATAAAAATCAAATCCATATGCTATATGGATATGCTGATTAGTTAATTAGTTAGAAAGAATGTGACAAATATTTTAATCATTTATCTTTTTTTATCTTAATACTTACAAGTAAATCACAGTAAATAAAGACATTTACACTTTTATGTACGTTTGTATGTATGTATTTGATTATTTATTCATTTATGTATTCATTTACATACTTTTGGTTTTAAAACACTTACTGAATTGTTTTATTTGGATCGGTCCAGTAATTATAGTAACATTGAGCATAAACCAAAGCTAAACATCTGGAGTCTCAAAGTTAAAAGCCAGATTCTACCACAGAATTTGAACCTGTCCCCAGCTCAGATTTAAACAACAGAGATTCAAGAGTGGGTATTACGCACAATTTATTGATTTATTTTAGCTATGTTGTCACTAGGGCCAGATAAATACAAGATGTAATATGTGGCGACACATCAGTATTTATCTGCAGAGTCATTTGTCTCACACACTCAGACACATATTTACTAGGGGTGTGCATTGTCATGAATCTGGCGATACAATACGTATCACGATACACGTCACGATACGATATATCGCGATATATCCCGATACTAAATCAAATGACAATTATTGCGATTTATCATTACTTATACTATAGTAAAGTACACGTTCTCAAGAAATAATTCTATGAAATAAAATTTATTTCATTTTTTTCATTTTGTAAACAGTAAATTTAACTGTAATTCAAGTAACCATTTCAGAAACAAGTTGCATCTTGGTCAAACTCTTAAAATTTCTTTTTTTTTTTTTTTTCTTACTTTTGGCTTCCACAACAGAGAGAAAAATCATTAAGCCTTAATTCCAAATACATTTATAAAATACAAATTGTTTTAAGAAAATAAAGCGCAATCCATATTGCTTCTTAATGCAATGAAAGAGCAAAATCATTCTTGTGCAGGAACACAAGCTGATCAACATGCCCTGCTTTTAAGACACTTCTCTGGGACGTTACAATGTCCCCTGCAGAGGAGAAAACCCTTTCTGATGGAATACTTGTACCTGGGATACAAAGGAAACACCTTGCAACCTCTGCTACATGAGGATACGCCGCCTCATGCTCCTTCCACCAGTGGAGGGGATCTCCACAGAGTGGCAATGGTGTCTCATTCTTGAACCGTTTTACCACTGCTTTGGCCACATCATGTGCAGATTTTTGTGTGACAGTCTCTCTTGCAGAGGCAAATGTTCCCAGAAGCTCACTCAGCACAGATGATGCCCTTGGTCTCTTCCAGGGTGGCGGGCTGGTGACAAGCTGATCATCGTCAGGATGTGATGACTGGATAACTTCATCCCCTTCTGTTTCCTCGTTATCACCTTCTTGCTCCTGACAAACATAAAACAAGCTTTTAATATGTTTTATTAATTCATCTTTTGTATTACACAATCAAATATTATACACATTTATAATATATAATTTAAATGTTACTCGTATGGTTTTATATGCATGAAATCATGAAGTATTTAAATATACTAGTTTACTTACACAAGTGTGTTTTTGTATTTCTGCAACCACAGGATCAGTCAGGGTGGAGTAGATGTGGACAGCCTCTTCTTCTTCTTGAAACGGGGGGTCCACAGCACTTGCCATGTACAGAGTGGTCATCTCAGTAGAGTATCTTTTGGACAGATCTTGTGCTATAACTAATTTGACTTCCCTTGAAGTCTCAGAATCACCAGGATGGTTTTCTGCTGCCATGACAAGCTTAGCATGAAGACGTGCAATGAGGGACAGTGTTGGCATGCTCTCCTCAGACATCACTAATGTGGCATCCTTCATTGGCCTTAGTGCTTTGATGACCGTTTCTGCACGTGATGTCAGACTCACTCAGAGTGAATATATCCTTTTCATTTTTCCTGACTTCATTGGAGAGGAGGGCTGCGCAGATTGCTGGTTGCTGTTCTAAAAACCTTTCTGTCATGTCGTATGAGCTATTCCATCTTGTAACAACGTCTGTGATCAGTCTATGTTTTGGTAGCTAAAGCTGTTCTTGTTTAAGCTTGAGCTGGTGACTGGCTAAAGCACTGCGTCTGAAGAAGGCTGTGACTCGTCTAATTCTGCAGAGCAGTCTGGCCACGGATGGTACTTTTATGATGTGAGGTTTAGGCTGTGCGCAAAACACTGAATGTGGGTCATTTCTGCTAGTCGCGCCGCTACAGCCATGTTAGCGGCATTATCCATCACAACGACTGGTCTTTTAGCGTTCAAACCCCATTCAATCACAGCTTCACGGAGTAGAGCCGTGATGTTTTCTCCCGTGTGGCTTTCGTACATTGGCCGTGTTTGTAACACGTGTGACACCATCTTCCACTGGTCATTAATGTGATGAGCTGTTATGGTCAGGTATGACTCGGTGGCTGTCCTGCTGGATGTCCAACCATCACAAGTTAACGCAACTCGCTCTGCAGAACCTAGATCATTGACCAAGGTATTCTTTACTTCATTGAACATTCTTGGCAAAGCGATGTCCATATAATGTTGTTGGGATGGTATGGTGTACCGAGGCTCGACAGTGTTCATCATGTAACAAAACCCTTCATTCTCCGCTGCGCTAAGAGGGCACATGTCTTTACAAATGTAGTACATAATGGAGTGTGTTATTTTTGCAGCAAATTGCGAGTTCGGGGGGAACTTGACTAAATGAGCTTGTTCAAGAGTCATTTGAGATGCCGATGGTTTTGCCTTGTTTACCTCCAGTTCATCGTGGTGTCTTAACACGTGAGTCCGAAGATTAGTGGTGTTTCCTCAGAATTTTATTTTAGCTCGGCAGGCTTTACACACCGCATGGGTTTTGTCATACTCAGTTGTTCCATCTTTGTTATAAAAGCCAAAATGTTTCCAAATATCCACCTTGTACACGCTTGGAGCTTCTCGCAAATCTTTCTCCTCATCTGCCATGTTCAGAATGATCAGAGCGGCACGCCGTGCCCCAACTACCGCGAGATATCTATACTAAAGTCTAACACGGTATGGCTCTCGCGAGAGTATATTGTCGTTCTCTAGTGGTGAGGTAGTTTAATAAGGTCCAGTGCCGTTTCCTGCCAACTATGAAATGAAAAAATGAATTTTTCGTGGAAAATATGATCTAAAAAAATCGATTCGGACGCATTTTGAATCGATACGGGAATTGCGCGATGACATATCGCGATATATCGCTGAATCGATTTGTTCTTACACCCCTAATATTTACACACACATTTACACACTTTCACACACACCCACACAGGCCCCCTTCAACACACCTCCACAACGTGAACTCAAACTTTCCCATAGAATCTAGATACACATACACACAGAGACACACACGCAGACGCGCACACACACACACACACACACACACACACAGACACAACACACGTGCAAACACCACACACACAGGCCCCCTTCACCACCCCTCCCCCACATGAACTCAAACTTTCTCGTAGAAAAATAATCCTATTCGTAATATAGAGCCTGGCTTCATTTGCTTAATTCTGCTTTTTATTCATTTATTATTGCAGTTTGTGTTTTTGTTACTTTATTGTACATTTTCAAGAGTGTTTAGGGATCAACCCGCTGTTGTTTGAGTGTGTAAATTTGTTTATTATCGTTTCTTGTCAATATTTTCTCCAAAAATATATCGTACTTCAAAATATGTAATCCTTTTCATCTGTTCTCGATTTCAAAATCACTTGATTTTTTTCTCCCAAGATATTACTTCATTCTGTTCTTTTTATTCATGCATTATATTATCTTTGAATTTGAACACATGCAGACGCACACACACACACAGGTCCCCTTCACCACCCCTCCCCCACGTGAACTCAAACTTTCTCATAGAATCTATATTCACACACACACACACACCGGTCATCTTCACCCACGTGAACTCTTCTCTTTCTCGCAGCACATAGATACATTTGAATCTAAAATAAACATTGTCATATATAAACAGGGTTTTAGTGAGATATTATCAGCTGTATTCTGTTGCAGCATCAGTCAACGTGAGCAGGTTTACGGTTTATGAGGCACTGGATCAGATCTTTGGTCATGACAGTGATTCTGAACACAGAGGAAAGTGAAGCTGAGGAAGATGTGTCTGAGGATGAGGATGAGGACATAGACTGAATAAAAGAAGTGGACTAAGTGAGTGTGATGTCACCCACAGTGTTCAGCGCCGCTCAGACGAAGCTCACAATGCTCACGAGTTACAGGAGTGAATCTAGAGCCAGGTTCCATGTTATGAATAGGATTTTTTTGATGGACAAAATAGCAAATAAAAAAATCAGGATCATGTGGCGCAGGTTAATACGAATGTTTTAAGTCAAAAATGATGAGGCTCACAGCAGCAGTTACAGAGAGAGGGACGAAAAGATCCCAACGTAAGTCACTTGAAGCCAGAGTCAGAAAGAGCCTCCTGGAGAACTTCCTATTTGGAACGCGGCGGCTACAGCGTTAGTTGTGTCCATTCATTTATATACGGTCTATGGATGAGGATGAGGTTCAATATGACCCTGAACAAGAGCACACATCTGATGAGGAGAACCCAGATGTCACAAAGGCTGAAAGAGACGTCTTCAAGTCAAGAAAAGGTGACATTTCATGGTCACCTCTTGACACCCAATATAATTATACTTATATAAATTATATTTATATTATATGTATTATATATAATATAATTATGCTTATAGTATAATTATATAATATAATTATGCTTATAGTATAATTATATAATATAATTACTCATTTTATCACTATAGGAAATATAATTTTGATTACAAAAACTGTTTAAATTCACAAAACGAGTGGTACATTTTAAGATAAAAGGTCTGTGGAGTCAAAAATAAATAAAGAATTAAAAGTGTTTCCATGGACATGAACACATACTAAGTTAGATATGAGGTGAAAAACAATATTGCATGATTATTAGTGTTTTTAATTTTTTTCAGGCTGAGTTAAATCACGGGTCAAATTTGACCCAGTAACACTAAAGACGTGTGTAGCTTTCTAACACAATATAAGGGTTAAAATCAGATGAGAACACTTAACAAAATGTTCCACAAACGTCTTTTGAAATGCATGCTATAATTTGTCTTAGTGGAACGTTAAACATTTACTTAAAAAAAAAAAAAACATTTTGCTTAACATTTACTTTAAAAAAAACATTTTGCTTAAAACCAGTATTTGCAGTTTCTGTCAGATGAATTGCAATATAAATTTATAAAAACGTTTCAGTTTCACATACCAGCGTGGTGGAGGTGTGGAGGGAATCCCACAAACAGCATGTGTGAGTGGGGGGGGTGGGTGAGTCGGATGAAGCGCGTCTGGTTTTCCAAAGACGGCGTCACACAGACACTGGAGATCTGCGAGGTGGTGGCGCAATCCTCATCTGTACGACAAACTCTGGAGCCGGTCACCATCTTACGCACCGGCATACACGCATACTGTGGGAGGGGTGGACATACACGTACTCAAGGTTCAAATATAGAAGCACAGTATGTAAAAATTATCTCAATCTCAATATTTAATACCGATTATAATACAGAATGTTATTTTCATTATATAAAACAACTATACTTTCTTTATGTTACCATGAGATCTCATACAAGTTCTGATAAAGCTCAAAATTATACCAAAAGTGTTCAGGAAAGCTTACATTTTGTCCCGTTAATGTGATATTTTTTTGGCTTAAAATATCAAAAGCATAGTATGTAAGAAACAAATATATCATTAATGTGCAGACATTATTGAGACTGTTTCATTGAAAGTTTTTGCATAGTACAACATAAAGTAACTACTACTATTAGTACAACTTAACAACTAATTTCAAATTCATATATTACTAGGATTAAATATATACTGTCACACAATTTAAGTTTTAGAGATTCAGAATACTCTTCTGAATCTACCGCTCAATGGTAAATAAATACATAAAATATTAAATTACAGGTCATTTTACATCAATATTTTGTAAAGGAAAAGAAAGCCAATGGAAAAAAAAGAAAAGAAACAGGAGTTGCTTTTTCATTTTTGTGGCAATAAAATTTCATATCGAGGCTGTGGAGCTCGTCTGACCTCTTTGTCCCGGATGCCCTTCCCCTGCGGTTTGGTGTAGGAGAAGCACAGGTCAGTCAGGCTGTTGTTACTGCAGCAGTCCACCGTCCCGTCCAGACGCTTGTACGCTGCAGAGACAAAGACAGATGGAGAGACAGAGAGAGGGAGAGAGGGTGGGGTTACATGGATGTTTAGACTGTTGGTCCAGGGTAATGGAAAATCTAAAAATAAAAAAATAAAAAACATCTTAAATTTGTGGGTTTATTAAAGTAAATAAAAAACACATACACACTGCTCTATGAATTAACCATCACATCTCCATACAAAACAATATTAGTTATGCCCTCTGCATTTGACCCATCCTTCATTTGAGAAAACTGTCAAGAGTAACAGCAATTACACAGGTAACCAACTCAATATTTTTGGTTAGGATTAGCATCTTATTTTCAAGGGTTCTGTCTTAAATGTTCTGATGAGTCTGGTACATAGCTCACTGAAGCTCACAATCCAATGCATTATGAAAGTCTTTTATGCTTTTGTGAGATGTCGTGGGTTCTTTTTAACTCAAAGAAATAATATGGCATAGTCAAAATAGTGTTTGTGAATTTATTTACAGAAGAGCTGGTGCCTGTGGTGCACACAGCTCTCCTCCTCAAAACACACTGCCTTTGTACAGATGGGAGTCACATTTTATAGTCCGAGACTCCTCCCCAATCAATTAACAAACAAAAATGCCTTTATCTCTATAAATAGAAATAAATAAATTCCCCTTTTAATACAAAAAAATCATAAACATTACCAGAATCAAAAAAATGACAGTAATAAACTTTAAACACAGATAGGAAAAAAAAAATCCATCCATTTTCTTCCGTTTATCCTGGGCCGGGTAACGGAGGCAGCAGTCTAAAGCAGGCACTCCAAGACTTCTTCCAAAAAATATCCAAGTACAAAAATGGAAAAGTCACCTGATATTCTTCATAATGTTACAGATGCGAGCCCTACATGACGCAACGTAACATGTAAGACAGTGATGCTCGGGTTGGCTGACGGACACAGACGCTGAGAGGCGGCGAACGTGGAGGAAAGTTTGAAACTGAAAGAAGGGCTATGGAGAAAGGAATGTTTGCGCAGCAATCAAGACAGACTGTTGCGATGGAGATGTGTAGAAACCTCGAGGACAGCAGAAAACAGCTGGGCAAGTAAAACATCGGTGTGAGTGTGTGTGTGCATGTATATCGGCGGGTCTACTCCATCACAGGAGACATTACAATATTGCCAATTGATATTTTGCAGTGACGTCTGGGGTGTTCTACAGGTATGTCTAAGAGGGAATGTTCTGCAGCTACCATAGTCGTACGATGTACATATTTTCATGAACCTGTGATCAATACGAGTGTGTCTGGTTTAGGTGTTAGATGTTCCACAAAAAAGGTGACTAAGTGACTAAATTAAAAACCTAGTCAAATAAAACCCAGATTAAAGTCTAATGTGAGTAACAGAGCTTCAGATAAACACAGCAGTGCCTCCAGTTAGCACCACGCCTCTAGGAAACGTTGATGATATCAGCTGGAAAGTATCAGTACACTAACAGCCCTACAAAAGAGGAGGATCCAGGCTTGTTGTATTTTGCTTAATGGGAACAAATCTCCAATTATTCAAAACAAAGCAGGATCTCCACACAGACAGATGAGACACAATTATCGCAGTCAGACTGTGGCAGGGAGCCCAGATCGCAGGAGATTTGGCAGGTACTCTGGACACGGGGCCTGTTTTGTTCACAGTGATAGATTAGGCTCATTTAATTACCCGGAAACAATAACAGCCACCAGAGAAGCAGTCGGAGCTCGGAAGCCAGATGTGGAGTCAAAAGTCAAACCTGGTCTTGCCTTGTACACATGAGCTGTCAGCCAATCAAAGCTCATAAAGGTTCAGTTATCGCTAAATTGGGTTCTCATATCTCTAAATACCTCTAAAATGCACCCAACGGCGTAAAAAAGTGACTACTACAACCAAACGCTCACACACACTCACACACACCTAACTGTGTCCAAAACACCCGGTCAATGTCCAATCCAATCTCACCTCAGAAACTAAAAAGGGTCGAGCCTGGGTAGGAGAGAGAGGGGGAGAGAGATAGAAAGATAGACAGATAGATAGAGGCAGAGATAGAAAGAGAGAGAGAAGGGGGGGGGGGGGTCAGCAGATTGTCCACGAAGAACCAGGTGAATTCAATTCTATTCCTTAGAAGTATTTCCTCTGGAAGGTATTTGAGTATTTCTTCAAGAAGGTCTTCTGCCAATTCACTCCCACATTTGGCATAAAAAGCCTGTAATATTTCATAGGTCTCCATGGGTACGGAAAAAACAAAGTTCATTTCACACAATCCAACTGTCCCTTACTTGTGTCCTTTGAAATTAACTGCACATGCTGCATCGAGTTGGTTAAAATCCCATGACATGATGTTAAAAACTGCTCAAAAAAACCCCAAAAATTTCAAATCAGTGTGTGAGCCAGTGTGTAGTACTTGGATGTAGTGTTGTCACGATACGTCTTCTTCAGTTTTTTTTTCAATATTAAAATATAGACAGTTATTTTATGTATAAAATAACTGTACATTCTTATGTCCATAAGTTCTGATAAAGCTAAAATTACAATAAAACTGTTCAGGAAAGCTCACACTTTGTCCTGTCCTTTGTCCCTTAGTTCACTTCTTTAAATTAGTCTAAATTGAACCATGAAGCCACCAATTAAAAAACAAACACTCTATCACCTCTGCCACTGTCACCACAAAAAGCTGCTAAAATTATTACATTTTTTGCACAGTTCTTTACAGCACCACTAGGGGGAGTTATACCTCTACGTTGTCTATGTTACTCACGTCTGCCGTGGGCCCAGCTGGGCTGCAGGCTGGCGGTGGGGACGCAGTATCCGGTCTGAGGCGTGTGGGACAGATGAGACAAACACTGGGTCCAGTCCTCCACTCCTCTGACGGGACAGTCCTCCAAACCCGTCACTATGTCCCCCACAGAGAGACCCCTGGGACCATCTGCAGCAGAACCCTGCACACAGAGAGTGAGGGGGAGGGAGAAAGAGAGAGAGAGAGGGGTGAGAGAGGGAGAAAGAGGGAGAGAGAGAGATAAGAAGAGGGAGAGAGGGGAGGGAGACAGTGGGGAGGGGAAGGGAGAGAGAAAGAGAGAGGGAGGGAGAGAGAGGAGAGAGAGGGAGTAACAGAGAGAGGGACAGAGAGGGAGTGAGGGTGGGAGAGAGGGAGAAAGGGAGAGAGGGAGGGTGAGAGTGGGACAGCAAGAGAGGAGAGAGAGAAGGGGGGGGGCAGCGAGAGAGAGAGAGAAAGGGAGAGAAAGAAAGAGAGAGGGAGAGGGAGAAACAGAGGGTAAGGGAGAGAAAGGGAAAGGGAGGGAGAAAGAGGGAGAGAGAGAGGAAGAGGAAGGGAGAGAGCGGCGAGAGGGAAGGAAAGAGAAAGAGGGAGAAGAAAAAAGGAGAGAGAAACGTAAAGACTGTTGAACTACATTATTTCCTGCTGTGAATGGTAGGTGGCCACCCGCTTGTCTCCATGGTGATAGAAATGTTTAAAGGTGCTGTATCTGATTTGTTCCGTCTCAAAAACCTAAAAAAAAAAAAACTAGTCCATTTTAAATAGTTTGAAGAGATCCACCAAAGTTATTCCTCACTTATTTTATGCATTCCCCCCAAATTATTCACCATGATGAGTTTATAAGCGTTTTTCACACATTCCAGGAGTTTCACAGTCATGGTAAACCTAACAACAACTAGCATGCTAACTGTACACTGCTGATTCTCTGACAATAAAACAGTTTATACACACAGTGACCATGTCTTGACCCCAAAAGCTGATTTTACCATATTTCTGTACTAAGACAAGACAAATTTAGCTAGAAGAGAAGATAAAAATTTGTTACAACCAGATTAATGCCATACTACAGAACATTCAAAGCAAAGCAATGACATCTCCATGGAGACAAATGAGTGGCAGAAAAGTTACACAGTGCACCTTTAAATACAGTAGTCATACCTGTATAACATCAGTGACAAGGGCCCCGACTCCAGTGGTGTAAACGGGAAATAAAAACACGGGCAAAAGGAAAAGGAAGGCCAACGCTGCCACACACAACATGAAGTTATGCCACACACCTGCAGGAGAAAAAGAGAATATAAATAAAATAAATTAAATAATCTTCCAATCTGTTAAGTAACAAATAACTCAATAATTAGTGACAGGGACAAATAATCAGACTTGCAGAAACCTCAAAAGATCTCTTTCTCTCCATGGCCGTGCACCAAAGTACATCTCTGACATGTTAGTGCCACATGAACCATCTCGTACTCTGAGGACCTCGGGAACGGGCCTCCTGCTGGTGCCCAGAGTCAAGACTACACAAGGGGAGTCATCGTTTCAGGTTCACACAGCTAAAACCTGGAACAGTCTTCCTGAACATGTGAGACAGGCCTCTACTTTGATGCTGTTTAAATCCAGGCTCAAAACGGTTTTGTTTAGCCGTTGTTCTCTCTAATTTATGCAATTAATGTCTCTCTCGCTTATTTAATTTTAATCTTAAATTTTATGATGATGATTTATGTTTTGATTTGTTTTTATTGTGATTTTAATGTTTTTCTTATTCTGTAAAGTACTTTGAATTACTTTGTGTACGAAGTGTGCTATACAAATAAACTTGCCTTGCCTAAATTTACGATAATTGTTATAGTATTTACTGATTTATTGGACTTTCAGTGGTTATGTCTGTATTCTTTAAAACTTTTGCTGTTTTTCACGTAACAGGAATTAAATTTTTTCTTCTGTTTTTATTGACTTTACCTTTACTATTGGATGTTTTGCATAGAAATATGTCTCTAAATTAGTAAGTAGTAATCACGTGAAACCAATTAATACAACACAAATTCATAAGGAGTTAGGTTAAAGGGTCTATATAAGTCTATTTTCTGATCTGTTATAATGTTGTTTCCTCTGCAAAACAGACCTGAAGTTGTGTTTTGCGTTTCATTCACACATTGAGCTCTTCTGTCAAACTGAAAACACTCGGCAGCACCTTCTGATATCACAAGTCCACACACCTTCACTAGAATCATTTGGATAATTTCAGTCCAGTCAAGGCAGCTGTTAACTCGAAAACTACCACTACATGACATCAGAAGGTGGAAAAGAGCATTTTGCGCTTTGGAGATGTAGACAGAGTAATAATAATGGATCACTCAAACTTGTGTGAATGAAACAAAACACAAGAAGTAAGTTTTTGATGAGGTTTTAACATGGCTTAAAGCTCATAAGGGTAACTTTTGATGTAATATAGGACCTTTAAGTTGAGTTAATATAAAAGCCATATATGTTTTAATAATAATAATGATAATAATTTTGGTCGACCACAGTGTTTTATGTAATTTAAGTGATGTTAAATGATGTAACTGTGGTAGTGTTAGTTTTTAAAGTGGTTTCTCACATTTATGGTTTTGCATTTATAAAAAATATGACCCATAAAACATCATAATATTATCCTCTATTTTCCAGCAGCTCGATTTTCATCTAATAGCTTTATCTCTCCTACGGCAGCCTGAGAGGGACACCCATCACGTCCATGAGTGAATAACTGTCAGCTTAACCAATCACTCCATTAAAACCCCATTTTCCTGATTGCAGAGTGAAATGATTTAATGTGCGCTAAACTGTCTCCCGCTAATACTCGACCTCAGAGTGACCTCCCACTGCAGAATGGACTGATATCTGTTCAACTAAACGCGTTGTGTAATTGAGATGGATGGTCATAAAATATGTATAGAGCTGCACAATATTGGAGAAGATTTTGATATGTAATATAATATGGCTCTACTGTGATATCAACATTACCAGTCAAAAGTTTCGACATACTTTCTCATTCTTCTCACTTTTTCTCATGTTTTTCTTTATGTTTATCACTTTCTACTTTGTAAATACAAACTGATGACGTCAAAATTATGAAGCAAGATGTGTGGACTTGTGTAGCAAAAAAAAAGTTAAATAAGTCAACTAAGTATTGTTTTTATATCAGATTTTCTCCCCTTTCCACCCTTTGCTTTGTCAGTAGTTCTGCAAACTCTTGACCTTCTCTCATTGGCTTCTTGATGAAGTCTTCTGAAATGGTTTTCACTTCACAGCCGGGTCATTCCACCTCAGTTTACCCCCAAAAAATGCAATTTGAATGATCACATTGTCCAATTGCAAAGAAACTGGTGTATGGGTCATAGTAAAGAAAGCCAAAATCTCAAATTTTAGCATCATTGGAGAAAACGGTTGCTGAGATATTGCAAATTTCAAACTGCATTTACTCAGCAACTACTAGTCCAAGGTATCTCTGGAAAGGGGAAATCATAAGGAATCCAAATCTGGATCTGGATAATTTATTTTTGCATTTGAGCACTTTTGAGATGAACTACCTTTTGACCTATAATTTCATCTTGAAATTGTCAATAATGATATCGAACCAGTAGTTGCTGAGTAAATGCAATTTGAAATTCAGCGACCACGCGAAAAAGTGAAAAAATGAAATTGCGATATCTCAGAAACTGTTGGTCCGATCAAAGTAAAACTTGAAATTTTGGCAATGATTTACCTATATACCAAGTTTCATCCAAATTTGACAAAGTAGGGTTTAAGTCATTGGGTGAACTGAGGTGGACTGACCCAGCTGGGCCTTGTCAGGGTCAAGAAATGTTAAAATTGCAAACCAGGGTTCAAATCAAAGGGTGGCTATTTAAAAAAAAAAATCTATAACCTTAAACAGTTTTCAGATGTTTTGAGTTTTGTTTACTACTTTCCATATGTGTTCAGTCATAGTTTTGATGCATTCAGTGAGAATCGACAATGTAAATAGTCATGAAAATACAAATTTGGACTATAAAAATATATATTACCATACATTATTTTAATATATACACAACATTTAAAATTTATATGTGTATGCTTACTTATTTTGAGAGCCAGAGTGTCAAAATAAAAACTTAATGTAGAAAAAAGTATGAAATCAAGGCTTATTTAGGTCTAGCTTTTTCATTTAAAAAACAGATTTTTATTAAAAAAACAACACACTTCTGTAATATGGATATTGCAATATTTAGTTGCTATATTGATTACTGCGTCAGTCAATGTTGGCACACAGAAACTTAATGTTTTGATATTGTGCAGCCCAAGTTTACACGTGATTTTAAAGCAGATATTTGAAAGTAAATGTTTCTGACCAGCGCAGAAGATTCGTAGCTGTTGTGTTGGAGATATGATGTTGAGGTGAGTCGTGAAGAGGTCGACAAAAGCTCCGGGGTACACCACAAAAATAAACATGCCGAAGCCATTCACTCGCACCTGCTCCCTGAACAAAACAAGACACACAATATATCACAGTCAGACATAAAATACTGCCTGCTGTTTTACATTAAAGCTCTGTACACGCTGACTGAACCCACAATCAAGTATAAACTAAAAATGTCCAGGATGACTAATAAAATTGGCTTCTACAAGGTATACTTTAATTTACTTTAATATAATATCCTAATTTAAACTTGTGAGCCAGAAATTCCAATGTTGCCAATGAGTAAAGCTTTAGCAACCTTAAAAATATTTTGATTGCAACAAAAATACTAAATATGTGTATAAATAAATACATAAAAATAAAATAAAATGTAAATGTGTTAAAAAAATAAATTAAAATGCTTGCCTAAAAATAATATTAGTAGGCTACTCTATTTTACTACAAACATTTATTTAAAAAAAAAAAAAGATTACAATAAAAAAAAATACAATAATGACTGGATTTTGAGCCTTTTGCTGGTTGTCATAGCGACAGTACTTTTCCAAAAATGTGAACGAGAGTGTACCTCAGTGCTGCCACCGCATGGCCAAGCTCGTGTATGACACCACTGAGCAGCAGAGCGACAAAGAAATAGGCCAGCTGATTGGTGGGAAGGTTTACTCCAGGGACCTGCGCATAAAATACATAAAAAGAGGCCTGAATACTAAAAATAACACATTTTCCAGTACTCACTAAGCTAGTTCACAGTTTAAAGGTCCAATATTACTCAGCATTGACTCTTTCGAGGTTTTAGCCATGTTATAATTATGTTTCGTCATCAAAAACATGCATGCAGTTGTGTTAGGTATGTTTGTGATGAGGAAACATTATAACACAGATCAGAAAACAGAGTAATATAAGCCCTTTAAGTCTAGCCACGCTTTATAAATATGCTCTCACCACTACTTGTAGGGTCTGCTGTCCGCCGATACGAGGATTGTCTGTGGTCATCTGGGCCAGAGTCTGCTGCAGAGTCTTTACCAGAAGAACCACCGACCCCACCATGGAAACTACGCCAAAAACTAGACCACTGTTGAACCTAAAAACATGACAAATACATAGTTATTACTAGACCTCGCACGATAATTACTATATTGACTTATAGTTTGATAGTTAGTGTTTCATTCTGCTGTTTTTTTATTGCAGCTTGTGATACTTTAACAATATTCAAGATTTAGAATACTTTTTGTTGTTTAAATCTGCTCTTGGGTTATTGTTTTTGTGGGATAATAAATTAGTTTAAATATTATTGTAACATTCAATCTATTATGAATCTACTATGGATCTACTAATTCAATAATATACACATTTGGACAACAATTTTTAAGTTCATACTGGTCTCGTTTTTGGTTAATATTAATCAAATGACAAGAAAATGCAATTCTAATCTTGCATTCACTTTACATACAGAGTCACAGTGAGTTATTACACTTCCCTCTAACAAGCCACAATACTGCTGTGTCTATGTGGATTAAGGCTCTTGACCATGGACACAACAATATTATCCATTATCGGAACCAGCCTCCCTCCAGTTAGTGGGCAAAACTAAACACACTAGATTAGACTGTCCCATTAATTAAATAATAATCACTGACTGGTAGTTTGGTAGTTTCTAGAAAGTGATGATTTCATGACATACAAGCGCCAGATTTCCCTATTGATTACATTGTACTTTACCAAATAATTAATTAATTAAATATCCAAACGGTAAATTAATATTAAATAAACCCAAGAACTCAAAGTATTGTAACATAATTTTGCATTTTAACAATATCTCCTTTTGTATTCATTAATGTTGGCCTATAGAATGTTGTGATGTCTTCTGAAACCCAGCAGTACTTGATAATATTATATTGTAAGTGATAAAAGTTGTGCCCTGACCAGAGGTACAGGGCGCGTGGGCGTATGCGGGCGCAGTAGGCGAACAGTCGGTTGAACATCGTGGTTTGCCATCGGATGTGAAATGGAGACAACATCAGACCTCGACTCGCCAACCACGACTCGTAACTGATGCGATGGGTCATAGAAGACTGCGGGAAAACAGACAGCAAAGGTTACATAAGAGTAACAGAAATAAGGTTATGCATGTATAACAGAGCTTTTGATTAACGATAAAGGTGTATTGCTTTTCTCTATTCTCTATCTTCATGGAGACCAAACCAGACCCGAGTTACAGGTCAGATCTGTGGAGAGTTAACCCTGCTCAGAGTCAGAATTCATTTTTTTGTAATTTTGAGCTGTAAAATAATTTAATAAATGTAAAGTAGAACAGGTTAATGTCACACAGTGCACCTTTAACTATGGCTGGAATATGGGTTAAAAGTATTAATATTCAATTAAATTTTATGTCTTCTTTTCAAAAACAAAATAAAAACAGCTTTCGATATTGACCTCATAAAAAAGACTTTTAATCAGTATAATTTAACAAATAGGCTGAATTTCTTCCTTTATAGTCTGGACTCTGCACTAAACCACACCCTTTTACTGATAGAGGATTTGTTGTGGCAGTTCACTGATAATTTGACATGATTAATCTTAATTATAATTAAATAAATTTGCCCATCCTTAGCTTGTAGGGATGGGCAGTACTAAATGTAACTGTGGGTATTATATGTGTTTCCTATTGACAGAGGAAACTTGCACGCTCCTCCCTTAAAACAAACTGAAGTATAATTGGTATAACGGCAAAGTAGAACAACAAAAATAGATTTCCTGTATGCAAAAGGACTGCTTCAATATTAAATAGAAGCAGTACATGACAGTTTACCCAAAATGTATTGAACAGAATAATAAAAATGATGCAAAAATCTGGGCGTTAAACAACATCCAGTGATTTTCTTTTGTGACGCTATTCAAAGACAAACGGTTAGCACATTGCAGTGTCATGTGAGAACCGTCCCAGGGGATCTCAGTGTTTATTTTGCTCCTGTTTGACCCTTTGAACGACTTGTTTACTAAGATGACATCATTTGTAAGCTTTCAAATCTGGAACACTGCGTTGACGCCTCTTTCCACTGAAAAACACTGCTCAAAATGTAGCAAGATAACATGATAATCTTGAAAACATCAGCCTAATGATTTGAGGAATATGTAGAGACAAAATATAATTGTTTACTTATAGACTTGTAGTTATGATGTGGCCCAAATTAATTAAGAATAATAAAGACGCTACTGGATAGACCTGGTAGATGAATTCCCATATCCAAAAGAAAAAACAAAAAAAAGCAATAACTGAATACTTATAGCAATAATAAATAGTGAATACTTCAAATTTAATCAATAAGGAATAGTTCAAATTGATTTGTTTGGAAGACAAAATAGTTTCTGAGAAGAACTTGACCATTTTATTTCCTGACAAAAATAGTCCAGTGTTAACTCTTCTTTGCAAATAGCTATTCTAGAAAGTGAAATTAAGATACTACAAAGCAATCAGGTTTACATTGTTAAAGACCCCAGATTATGCCATTTTCTGATCTATGTTATAATGTTGTTTCATCAAAAATATACCTGAAGTTGTGTTTTGCTTCATTCACACATGTTTAACTCACAAACTCTGCATATTTAGGAGTTATTCTCTTAAACATCACAAGTTAGAACGGAGCATTACGAGCTTTGGAGATGTAGACAGACATATAATAATAACAGGTTTACTCAAACATGTGTGAAATGAAACAAAACACAAGTCCCGCTATATTTTCATGAGGTAACAACATTATAACACGACTTAAAGCTCACACAAACGCATTCTGTATAATATAGGGCCTTTAAGCTTCAATAGTCATGCACACTGACTCACAATTTTGCGTTACATCATGATTGAGTTACAAGTGGATTAATAACAAACAGGATTTCCGCCAAAGCTTCCAGATATTCAGCTGCTCTCCTGCTCCTGCTCCTAAGAGGATATTAGAGCTACATCCTTACAGAATGCAGACAAGTCCTCAGCTCAAGTGGAGGGAGCTAGGATGAACATGATTGGTTGAAAACTCTGCTTCTGTTGCTAACGTGACCACATCAAAGCCAACTGTGTATATTTTTATGTTATTGTAGGCCATGGGGAACAATGAATGAATAGGCTTTGAGTAATACCTAAAAGGGCAGGATAAAATGCATTGTTTACATCAAATTCATAACAAAAATGACACAAGAAAGAACAATTATAACAAAATAATGTGTTGTTTTCACATAAAAACTGGGACTAAACCTAGATCTAAACCAGGACTAAAATCTAGGACTAGAAAAGTGTCAAAACAAAACCAAATCGATCAATTTTAAAGCAGCCACCATCTCAAACTCGTGTCTAATGTTTACTGTAATCGATTTTATTACTCTAACAAAACTTTTAACAAATAAATATGAAGGATTTGTGGAATAATTAAGCATATTTACCCTCAGCATTGTGTCGGCGAGGTAGACAGCGCACCAGGCTGCCATAACGCCGATGACCAGAGACACGGGGATCATGGTGCATCAACAGCGGGGATTCAGTGAGCTCTAGGCGGACACCAATCAGGCAGCACCCCGGTCTCCATCTCCACCGCTCCTCCACCCGATTCTACACGATCCTACACCCCGGGAGCCATATTTAGCACCGGGTACGAAAACTAGAGCCGTGTTGTGAATTACAGAGGTCGAAACGTGTGCGTGCGTGCTCTTATTTGGGATGCGTTGAATGGACAAATCATCAGCATCCGCAAACTTCCGGGTTGTGTTTCATTTATTGAGTTGAAAAGTGTTGCGGAGCTCTGTCGCCACCTGCCGGATTGGAATAATAACAGCGCTTTGAGTAAAAAATAAAAATAAATAATATAAATAAATAAATAATAATAATAATAATAATAATAATAATAATAATAATAATAATAGCTGGCTCCTCTCAATGTGGAGGAGCAGCGACTCTACTCCAAGCTCCTCCTGTGTGATTGTGCTCCTCACCCTAACTCTAAGGGAGTGCCCAGCCACTCTGCGGAGGAAACTCATTTTTACTGCTTGTATCTGTGATCTCGTCCTTATTATAAGTCCTCGGACTTATAATAATAATAATACATAAAAAAAATATAATAATAAAAGTGTTAAATGCATCAAGACTGAATGAACTGGTTGTTTAATGTTTTTACTGTGGGCACAAAAATAGCTTTAAATTTGCTCTAAGGTGTTTTTTTCCTGGAGGGTCTGCTATCTGCTTGTCTCATGTTTCACAGTATGGCATTAAGCATATCTTCATGGAGACAGAACACGTGTCTTGTTATGGGTCAGATCTGGGGAGAGGTGATCCCGTTCACAGTAGAAATGCATTTTTAAAAAAAACAAACAATAAATACACCTTATATTATATAAATGCAATAAAGTCAAGTTAAATTGTTTTTATTGGAACATTAAAGGCAAAGCTATGATAAGGGCATCAGCAGGTGGGGAAATTGCCAGAAAAGTTACATAATGCATCTTCAAGACATACCTCAGGCACCAATATAACTTAATTTCCATCTACAACAATTAAATTAATTGTTATTCAAATAAATTACTATAGGTAACAGTTTGTAAATAAGCCAAATTTAGTAGGTAAGTACTGTATATCTCATTTAGTTGGTAAGATATTGGCAAGTAACTTTATCTTCAACTAGTTCAAGCCAAATCTTTGACTTTTTTGTTGCCAATTTGAACCAAAACTTGAAGTGCAGGTTTGCAATCTGTACAACAATAAATCAGTAATCATAAAGAAGATAGCTACTAAAATATAGATGTATAATTTGACTCTAAAAGTATCTGCAGTCTCTGTTTTGACCACCAGATGCTGCTATAGCCAAATGTAACTAACTCAAAAACAAATTATTGCGTTATGACATAAAGGTTCTAAAATGACATTTGAAATAACACCATGGCATATGATTTAAACATCTTTGCGCGTGTAGCTGCAGTAAAACCTCTCCATATGAGTTTTATGGATACTGTATTTCTCATCGCTAAAAGGTCAGAGTATTAAAGTGTGTTTGATAAATGTAGAAAGCTTCGTCAGACTGTCCCAACATGACTCATCGTCTCATAAAAGTGACCGGCCAAAATAAAACTGCAAATTAAATACTCTGTCGCAGCTCCAGCTCAGGCCTGGTTCAATAATACATCTGTCAATATGCAGGGGCTGTATCAGGGGAGTGGGCTCACATAAAAAATTCACTGTGTCTCTTTTGCTCACAGCAATGGGAGGATATAAGTGTTGCTGATTATATGTTTCCTATAGTAGAATATTACAAAGAAATACATTTAGTTTTGTGAGAACCAAATTTACTTGCATTATTAAAACAGGTTTTTTATGGCTCAAACAGACAGTGAAAAACATGCATTCTTACTGTAAGTGGGGAAGGTTCAATCTGCTCATTTCTGTGCAGATATAAGTTTAATGTCATTCTGTGGGACATTCTAATCAATGCACATACTTTACATCTACATGAGGACAAGCTGTTGAAGCAGACATGAAAAATACCCATGGAAATACATTTTTAAACATTGTTAATAGTTCAAATAAAGTCACTTTGAACAACCTAAAATACACAAAAGGGCTGTAGAACAACCCAGTAATCTAATCATGAGTGCTAAGTTAAAAGTACAGTATGAAACTTTCTGGAGGTGCGACGTCACCTGCATGATTCCATGGAAATAGAGAGTTAAAACCATGGAACATTCTCCACTGAAACAGATACATTTTTTTAATAACAATGTTTTTTATTCAGATTTTATACATTATGAAAGCATAATTACAAGCTATTTGCCAGTCATGTACATAAAAGCTAATTTAAAAAACAAAAACAAAAACTGGACAGATCAACCTCAGAGTTAGAAAATTAAGTTATAGCCATCGATACATTTTTTTATTTATTTTCTTCTCTCAACATAAATATAGTATATACACACACATACATACACAAATATACATATACACATACTCACATAAAATCATAAAATGTACATACATTCAAAATTATAATTTAAAAATAAAAGAGGTTTAGAGCAGGGGTGTCCAGACTTTTTTCATTAAGGGCCACATATCTAAACACAGATGAAGCAGAGGGCCGATTGAGGGCCGTAGACTGATGCTCAGTACAGTGAATAATTGAAATATGTGCATGTTTAACCCGTTAGAATGAGTCATCAGTCTTTATTCATGCTAAGAATATTAAATAAAAAATATTAAATAATAGCTTTATCAAGTAGATTTTCAAAAAACTTGTGGTAAAAAATTACTTTTTAATTGATACAAGGTAATTTGGGCCAATTCACCTGGAAGCCTGAGGGCCAAGAAAAATTTGTCTGAGGGCCGCATTTGGCCCCCGGGCCATAGTTTGGACATGTCTGGTTTAGAGTAATCTCCCCACACATCTCCAAACAATTTCGACTTTTTTTTCCTAATGCATGTGATCTTTTCCAAGGGAAAAACTATGAGTATCGGTTTACCCAGTGCACGAACTTGGGGCTACAAGTTTTTTTTGTTTTGTTTTATTTTTACAATAATATTTCAATTGTTCTTTGTGCTTGTAAAAAACACATATTAATAACCTAAGGATCTCAGGACACAGTTTCTACAAATATCCAGTATGTTACTCTTATATAAGGTTCAGTTTGGCCAGTGAAATAGATACATTTTATGACATACTTTGAAGGATTATAACCAAAAAGAACAACATTTCCATGGAAAAAAGCAGGTGAAGGCTCTTCTTTAGGCCAAATGAGTCAGGTTTGTGGAGATGCAAACACACTCAGTGTAACATGCTTTTATTTTTGTCTTTATTTATTTAAAAAAGTTACATACTGTGACTTTAAGTGCATCTCCACACACTAGTACACCTTTTTACACCTCCACTGGGATGATTGGGCAGGCTGGAAAATGTATACAACAACACAATCTCCATAAAATTGTCAAACAGAATAAAGTTTTTAAAAGTACACACTACATCACAAAAGTTACCTATAATAACATTTTGCTTCAGTCCCATATTGCCATAGCAGTAATGATAGTTGAGTTTATTGTTTACATGAGTTGAATGGAGCAGAGCAGCTGACCCCCCCCCCCCACACACACACACACACACACACATACACAGAGCGTCCATCATCACATTACCTCCTGTTCCTCTGACCGCCTCTGACCACACAACCCCACACAACCCTATACACTCATGCAGTTTTAATGTCGCCACGCGCTTCATATACACACTAAAATTACATTTACGAGTCTCTCAGATCTGACACTGCTAAAATTAAACCACAGGGAACTCACATCATTTAGGTTCCCTGCGATGTTTAGTTTGTGTTCTTACAACTTACAACAACACTCACTTATTGTCTAATTGTCTTGCAATTAACTGCATTAGTAGTAGTAGCAGTAGTAGCAGCAACAACAACAGTAGTGGTAGTAGTAGTAGTAGTAGTTACAGAAAGAATCATTTTTTATTTTTTTTTAACACTAACTACTACATTACTACTACCATCTTTACTTTTTGTTATATCATGTTAGTAGAGACTGTAATCTTTACTGGCTAATTTGAAACACTATGAGGAGTAGTACTAGTAACAGTATAGTAGTAGTTGCAGTACTTTTTGTTATTATTTGCAGTAGTCTGGGCAGGAAAATGTATAAGCTACACCAGATAGACACATCTTTATTATTTTCATAATGTAAACTAGCCCATTTGAAACATTACAGTAGTAGTAGTAGTAGTAGTTACAATAATAGTAGTAGTAGTATTAGAAGTAGTGGTAGAAGATTTAGTACAAAATGAAACAGAAAGCTCACACCAAAGTTCTTGTGAAGTGGCAAATGCAAGGAACAGAAATTTAAAAGTGAAACAAAAAGTATAGCACACTCAAATGGTCAGTGCTCAAAAGTTTTTTTGTTTTTTTTAAATTACGTTTCGGCAAAAAAGCCTTCGTCAAATCATTTTTCTTGCTTTGGATCACAGTATGAAGTAATAGTAGTAGTAGTAGTAGTAGTAGTAGTTGCTATAAGCACTTTCTGTGGTCATTTACAGTACTAGTCATAGTAGTGGTAGTAGAAGTAATAGTAGTAGTAGTGGTAGTAGTACGAGTAGCAGTAAGAGTAGTAGCAACATTAGTAGTTGCCCTAAACTCCATTTACAGTACTAGTGATAGTAGTAGTAGAAGTAGTGGTAATAGTTACGGTAGTGGTAGTAGTGATAGTAGTAATAGTAGTAGTAGTGGTAGTAGCAGTAATAATAGTTGCCCCAAACTCCTTTTGTGATCATTTACATCAGCAGCCTTAGTGGTTGTAGTAGTAGTAGCAGTAGAAGTAGTAGTAGTAGTAGTAGTAGTAGTAGTAGTAATAGTACTAGCAGCATTAGTAGTTGCCATAAGCACTTTCTGTGGTCATTTATATATATAATACTAGTCATAGTAGTAATTGTAGTAGTAGTAGAAGTAGTGGTAGTAGTAATAATAGTAAGAGTAGTAGGAGTAGTAGGAGTAGTATTCTTAAACTCCTTCTGTGTTCATTTACATCAGTAGCCTTAGTAGTTGTAATAGTAGTAGTAGCAGTAGTACTAGTAGTAGTAGTAATGGTAGTAGTTGTCCTAAACTCCTTCATTTACATCAGTCCTTGCGTCTAAAGGTCTGTCCTTGCTGCACCAGTTCAAGCTCGGGAAACATTTGCATATTTGAAAACACGGCCACTTCATTTTCCTATTGCCGCTGATCACATAAAGAGTTGAAAAGGTTTTCAGAAGAACTGGAAATGCAGCGGATGATTGACAGTTGGATTTTTGGTAAAGTTATGCTCGGGGGTGGGACGTAGGGACTCTCTCGGCCAATCAGAACGAAGGGAAACAGGTCAGGTACTGCAAGAGGACCTGGGAGGCAGAAGGCAGGGCAGAGCAGCACAGCCAAGGTAAGAGAGAGTTTCTGTATTGTTGTTTAATCCTCACTGGAGATGTTTATGTGTTTAAATACTGTATTAAAGCTTTAACTAACTTACAAAGAGCGTGTCTTTAAACGCTGTGGATGTAGGGCAGAGCCATTTCTGTTTGCATGAGTCATTTGAGGACTCGGTTATGGGGAGATGAGAAGCCAAAGATAACACAATCCCAAATAACGTCAGGTTGCCAAATAGTTGAAACGAATGTCAGTTTTCTAATTGCAAACTCCTCTTACAAAGTTATCGGCAAGTTAAGTTAATACGTAAAGTTATTTATACTTACATACAAGTTTTGTTAGTGAGGAAAACTTAAGAAAAGTAAATGATTATGACATTATAAGCAAAATTTTGGTATATTTGTGCACAAAATAAGTACTGGATACTACAATTTTAGGACGAAAACTGTACTATAACACACTACAGTCAGCCCCAAAAATAAAATTATTTCAATATTTAAAGGTGTACTATGCAACTTTTCTGGTTTGCCACCTGTTTGTCTCTATATTAGGGATGTAACAATAACCGAAATATCGTGATATTGTATCGTCAAAGTTCTCACAATAATGTCTTGGACCATTACAATATATCGAATTACAAGTCTCTTTGCTTAAATTAAGAGTTATGGTGCAGCAATAGCTAAAAAAGACTACATAGACCATGATCCTTTGCTCCATTTCAGTGCAGAAAACAAGAAAAAATAACAGTTCTAAACACTTTTAAGTCTTAGTTGTTTGGATTAAGTCTTGTCAAGGCATTTTAAGAGGAAAAAGTAGCATATTTACAGTTTTGTTTGCAGCCTCCACAAAAAAATATCGCAAAAAAATATTGAACCATGAGATGTATATCGTGAAAATATCGTACCGAGAGATTTGGATATTCTTACATCTACACCTAAACGTGAGCTTTCCCGCAATTTCGCAATAAATATCGTATCGTGAGACTTGGATATCGTTACACCCCTACTCCACAGAGATGTTATTGTATTGTCTGGAATGTTCCATAGTAATGCATTAAACTGTTGTAGCTGTTTAAGATATTTATTTATTTAATTTAAATTGTTGTTAATGACCAAAAACACAAAAAGTCAAGCATTCCTACTGTGAGCTGGCTCGCCTCTCCACAGTACTTATGTGTAACTTGACCTAATGGTGTCACCTGCTTGTCGTTTAATGCAATAACGTGGAACATTCCAGGTAAAGTAATTACATCTTTATGGAAACAAGACCCTCCCTCTGAAAAGTTACATATATTTATAGTAAACCTTTAAGCGCTAGAGATACTATATAGGTCCAATGATGCCATTCCCAAGCCTGGAGAAACATGCTGTTGACATCAGTGTGACAAAAAGTCTAAAAACAGAACTTTTTATTGTGCAGTGAAATGTAATCTGCTCAAAAACCATATTTGGAGTTGTGTTTCCTTCAGGCCGTGCGCAGGGAAACCACTGTTTAGAAACGTATTTGATTACCATTACTCACCTCAACGCTCCATGGAAGAGTCCGGAAGAGAGGGAGGGAAAGAGGGAGAGAGAGAAATGGAGGGAGGGAGGGAGAGAGATAGAGAGAGACATGGAGCTAGGGGGGTGGAGGGAGGAGGGAGAGAGAGGGAGATGGGGGACAGAGAGTGAGTGGGAGTAAAGGAGAGAGAGGAAGAGGGAGATGAAGGGAGAGAGAGGGAGGAGGGAGAAGAAGAGACAGAGAGAAGGAAGGGGAGAAAGAGAGAAAGAGAGGAGGAGAGAGAAGAAGGGAGAGAGAAAGGAGGAGAGAGAGGAAGAGGGAGCAAGGGAGAGAGAGAGAGAGAGAGAGAGAAGAAAGGGTAGAGAGCAAGGGAGGGTTAGGGAGAGAGAGAAGGAGAGCGAGGGAGAGAGAAGAAGGTGGAGAGAGAGGGAAGGGGAGAGACAGAGGGAGAGAGAGAGGGAGGAGAGAGAGAGAGGAGAGAGAGAGAAAAGAGAGAGAGAGAGAGAGAGAGTGAGAGGAGGAGGGAGAGAGAGATATGAAGCAGGTCCCCACTGTGTATCACTGACTATTTATAGACAGAACAAATCCCAGAATGACAAGAATCCTCCAACCAGAGAGAGAGAGAGAGAGAGAGAGAGAGAGCAATGAAGAGAGAGAGGGAGAGAGAGAGACAGAGAGATGAAGAGAGAGAGAGAGAGAGAGAGGAGGGCGAGGATGGGGCATGGGGATGGGGAGGGGGGCAGAAGAGAGAGAGAGGTAAAGTGAGAGAGAAAGAGGGGAGGAGATGAGAGCAAAAAGTTGCAATCAAAGTGTAGAACTATAAAACTACTACTACTACTACTACTACTACTACTACTACTACTACTACTACTACTACTGCTACTACAACTCTTACAAGAACCTATAGAGACATTCTAGTGCAACAGGTAAGACATTTAATTATTTCTTTGAGTTGCTTTGGGAAAAGTCACGGCTAAATGAATAAAATATCAGTCGCTCTTGTGTAAAAAATAGTTTTAGCAGTAGTAACGGTACAAAAGTCACAGAAGTAGTGCCAGTAATTGTGCATGTTTTTTGCCAGCACAAGGATTTACAACATAATATATTTAATAATCTACATCAATTAAAGGTCCTGTTTATGCAAAATTGACCCTTGTGAGCTTTAAGACATGTTATAATACTGTTATCTGGAGTTTTATTTCAATGACACATATTCGAGTAATCCTACATTTTTATTCTATGATTATTAAAGCGCTTTGAGTCGCATTTTTGTGTGAAAAGTGCTCTATACATAAAGTTTGATTTGATTCTGTCTTCACCTTCAAAGCTCAAAATGCGCTGTTCCCCCTTGTGATGTCATGAAGTGGTAGTTTTCAATTGAACAGCAACTTTGAGTCAGTATTAAGTAATTCCAGATCTGAAATTATGTATGGAGTTTAAAAACACATGTGGAGCACTTTCGGTGTTACCACATGACATCACAAGGTGGAACAGAGTGTTTTCTGTTTGAGGGAAGAACTAAAAGTCTAAATCTGCAGGGTTTGTGTGTTAAACATGTGAAAAAAACAACAAAAATCACAACTCCAGGTATTTTTTTGACAAGAAAACAACATTATAACAGATCAGAAAATGACGTAATGGGCCCTTTAATAATTTTTCTAACACATTTGAATTTCCTCTGTAGGACCACAGTTACATCTATCTAATCTCTTCAACAAAAGTGATAATTTCCTTGTATTTTTTTGAATGACTTTCACTATTTACTCCCGCTGAACGTTACATATCATTATATAACTGAGAACTGAAACTGAACTTTTACTTCCCCTGCACAAACCAATAAGACCTGAGTATTTGCCTGTCTACTTCCTACAATGCAAAATATTAAGGAAATACACAGACTCGGCATTGCTGATTCTTACATAATACAATATTTTTTAAACTTTACAGTCTTTATTTTAGTTTGAGAAGTGAAGCGCTTCAGCTTTTACGTATCTATTTGAGAATTTGAATACAATGAACCAGCTAAAAGACCACGTCCTAAAGCAAATTCACTTATAGAATTAACTGAAAATGTATTTTTCCTATTGATACTTTACTGTGACACCATGGTGGAGGTGTTCTGCATGTATATCTGTGGCAGAATGTTCATTAGTTACCATGGTGACACAATGCAGAGACCTACATTGACAAACGACAGCCCAAAAAACGTTTTAATATTGTTCAACAAAAAACACAAAAATCATAAATACGAGCGTTCACGTTTCTGAGAGTGACTAAATGAAAAACTGCTGACTGTAATTTTATTTGAGAAAAACAAGTTTAGCAGCACAAATCATCTCACATGTCGTAGTTCCAGCTAAATCAGCTCTTTGTGGTCAGATTGTGTTAAAACAAAGCTCACGTTAAACCCGACTTGAGAAACAAAGCTTCAGACGGAGGAAATATTGACGACATCACAGCTGCAAAGTGTCAGTAACCACAATTGTATAAACATCGTAACGGTTTTTCATTACTTGATGGTATAACTAATCGATAAACAATTCTAGTCAGACTCAACTTTTAGCTTTCTTTGCAAAATACATCATAAAATTGAAAGTGTAGCAGTAAAAGCAAAATAGACTTAGACTTAGACAAACTTTATTGATCCATAAGGGAAATGACTTGGACACAGTAGCTCACACATCACAATATAATATAATAACAAAGAGTAAAAAAAGAAAAATATATATACGTAAGAGTAATAATTAGGAATGTAACAATAACTGAAATATCGTGATATCGTATTGTCAAAGTTCTCAAAATAATATCATGGACCATCACAAAATACTGAATTACAAGTCTCTTTGCTTAAATTAAGAGATAAGACAGAGGGAACTACATAGACCATGATCCTTTGCTCCATTTCAGTGCAGACTACAAGAAGAAATAAGCACTTTTAAACCTTTATTTTTTGGATTAAGTCTTGTCAAGGTATTTTAATAGGAAACAGTTTTGTTAGTCTCCAGAAAATATCGCAATAAATATCGCACCGTGAGGTTCATACCGTGACGATATCGTATCGTGAGATATCGTTACACCCCAAGTAATAATATAAGGGTGGCCAGTTTTCCATAATTCTAAACTGGGACATATGGTATAAATAAAATTGTGAAAAGAATGTGTAAAATTATTGATTCACTTTTGGGTCAGGATGAAATCTGAGGGACTATGGTTGGTGCATTTTTTAATTTTTTAATTTTTATTTTTTTGCCTTTTGGTCATTTTCAAGCATGATTTTCTGTATTGTTTATAATGGCTGGGTTTCAAATTTTAAAATAGGGACACCTGCGACATTTCTTGTATAAAACTGGGACAAATCAGTGGTTTTGTATAAATCTGTTGGGACAGGGAACACGGGGCTCAAAATTGGGACTGTCCTGAGTAAATAGGAACGTCTAGTTGAAGTTGTTAGTTGATGCAGCTTTTATTCAGATGTGCTTAATAGTTCAGAATTTACAGTAATTAAATGCCTTTACCACTGTACATGTACCATTTCGATGCCTAACTTTGTTCACTAACTAATAAATGGATAATGGTTTATGTTTTATAGGCGTCAAACTTAAACAAAAACTGGGAGTCACATTTTTGTGTGTGTGTTTTGGTCATTTTTAAGCATCTTTTCTGTATTTTACTTAAACAAATAACAATTTATTCCTCACTTTACAGTTGGCAGGTATCAAATTGGTCCAAAATTGGGACACCCGGGACATTTTTGTATAAAACTGGGACAAATTAGTGGTTTTGGATAAATCTGCTGGGACAGGGGACACAGGGCTCAAAACTGGAACTGTCCAGAATAAATACGGACGTCTGGTCACTCTAATCTAACTGTACTTTATCTAAGACTTGCTGTGGCTCTTTTATATACTAAATTTCTTGTGACTGCTAAAACTAGTAGCTCTCTGACATTTTTGTTTTGTAAAGGTAGCTCACCGGAAGAAAAAGGTTGGAGACCCCTGTACTAAATAATATATATCTATAGGTACTGTATTTGCTTATACTTTTTGAGTGGAGTTTGTGTCTGAGTGACATTGTCCTAAAGCGCTGTGCATCAGGGAAAGACCCCAGCTCCAGAGCCGTAAAGGTTTAGTCAAATGTGGTGGAGACATTTTAATAAAATTTACCTTACCTTACAGCTCTACCTACATCCGGACATATAGGTTTACATATATTAGGCTAATCAGTTTCACTCACATGTTTTTTTTTCCCATTCTTGGACGCCACTTTTGAAGATTGAGGATGCAGTATGTAGAATCCACCACCAGTTTGACTCCATTAAACTGGCATTAAACTTATCTGTCACCATAGAGACAAAAAAGTAACACCAGCTTGCCAAGTTACAGGTCAGATCTGTGGAGTTTTCATTAACAAAAAGCTGAACCCAACTGGGGTAACTTAAACCAAACTGAACAGAACAAAACTAACACAACCAGACAAACGAACAGCGGTGTTTAAATATAGGACAAACTAAAACTGAACACAAGAGGGGAGAGTTACACTAAATAATTAACTAAAACTACTAACTTAATCAAAGTAACAAGAAGGCAAATAAGTATAATACAGAACATAATAAGTGATAATAAAGTGAACAAACAAACAGACTTAGTAAAACAAACAAAATAGTTCTCCTCCTAGAACGTGTGCAGCCAAATTTGAATATAAGCCTAAATAAAGGAATTAAATTAAACTCTGTGTGCTCTAATTAACTTAATGTAAATGAAATGAAATAATACTAACTCTGTGGAGTGGTGGCACTGTGGTATCCAACTACAGTGTGTATTTATGTGTTTTTAGTTCAGCATTGAAAATGCTTTTAGTTGGATAAATGCTACAGAGAGAAATGTAATTAATGCCATTCCGTGAAACATTCCAGGCAAAGCAAAAACATCTCCATGGAGACAGGAAAGCGGTGGACCCTCCAACAGAAAAGTCAAAGATAGAAAGGCAATGTTTTGAAAGGTTTAGTACGGGATTGTGTATAGCTCAAAAAGTTTTTACTTCCACAAATTTGTACCAGTTGATACTTTGTTATTTATGTATTTATTTATTTATTTATTTATTTATTTATATTTGTCTTTCTATTTATTTATTTATTGCTTTTATCTGTTTTTTTAGTACTGCTTTTATGTATGGATTTTATTTTATTTTAATCGATATTATCATTATTATTATTATTATTATTATTATTATATTTTGTTGATTCTATTAGTTTCCTCTTGGTTGGCACATAATTCTGCTGATTTATTTATTTTATTTTTTTAAATAAAATGTGCTATACAAATAAAGTTGGATTGGATTGGATTTGCAGTGACATCGCGCTGGGGGTGTTCTACAATGCATTTCTATTGGCGTTATGTTCAGCAGTTTCCATGGAGACACAATTTTCACATTACCAAACACAGTCAAAAAAGTTTTAAGATCATCTCAGAACTTAAGAAAAAATACAAAAATGGATTTAAACACATTTTTAGGAGCCTGTGATCAGTACGAGCGTTCATGGTTCTGTTTAGGAATTACATTTTCACCAAAAATGATGAGAGAAAAACTGCTGAGAGACTTTTTTAAGCGCATAAATCATCTCAGCTGTTGTAGTTCCAAAGAAGTCAGCTCCTTTTGTTCAGAGCAGTGCTTCCAGTTAGCGTCACAACCTCAGGGAACATTTGATCACATCAGTTGCAAAGTATGAATACGTAAGAACACAGCTATAATTTTCCAGTCTCATTTGTTTTTTACAATAGGCTCTTAAATAAATTACATCTGACTTGATTTGCCTGCCTCTAAAAACATCACTGCATGCAAATCTTTTTATATAAATATACACTGTGTAACTTTTCTGGTGGAGGCATCACCTGCGTCATCATGGAGATGTTTTACCTTTGCCTGGAATGTCCCTCAGTGTGGCATTAAACTTGTCTATCTTGCATTTATTCACTAGAAGGTTCATTGTACATTTTTTAGGTATCTGTACTTCACTTAAGTCAGTTTTACAGAGGATACTTTTTACTTTTACTTCACTACATTTGAGAGCAGGTACTGTACTTTCTATACTTTCTACTCCTCTACATTTTAGATCTGGACTGAAAAGTATTTTGAAAGGGCTGAGACGTTTTAGCACATTTAATTTGAGTTAACATCCCAACGTCTCCCTTTGAGCAAAATAAATACACAAAAACAGCTAGAAAAATTAAGCTGAATCCTTTTTCAAAATCAATACATTTCATCCTTTAAATCTCTACAAAATACTTTTAATTTTTACTCTTTAAGTACATTTTCTAAACAGATACTTATAAATACTTTTACTAGTAGTGCTACAAATAGATTTTTTCAAGTGATCATTTTACTTTTACTTGAGTAACTTTTTGCCCCTGTATCTGTACTTTTACTTAACCCTTTAGGCGCCAGAGTCAGAGTCCTGGTTCAGTCCTGGTTTAGACCTCGTTCAGTCTTGGTTTAGTCCTGGTTTATTCCTATTTTCATCCTGGTTTAGTCCTGGTACAATCCTGGTTCAGTCCTGGTTCAGTCCTGGTTTTGACCTGGTTTAGTCCTGGTTTAGACCTGGTTTAGTCCTGGTTCAGTTCTGGTTTAGTCCTGGTTTAGTCCTGGTTCAGTCCTGGTTCAGTTCTGGTTTAGTCCTGGTTTAGTCCTGGTTTAGTCCTGGTTCAGTTGGTTCTTGGTTCAGTCCTGGTTCAGTCCTGGTTCAGTCAGTCTGGTTCAGTCCTGGTTTAGTCCTGGTTTTAGTCCTGGTTCAGTCCTGGTTCAGTTCTGGTTTAGTCCTGGTTTAGTCCTGGTTTAGTCCTGGTTCAGTTCTGGTTCAGTTCTGGTTCAGTCCTGGTTCAGTCCTGGTTTAGTCCTGGTTCAGTCCTGGTTCAGTTCTGGTTTAGTCCTGGTTTAGTCCTGGTTTAGTCCTGGTTCAGTTTTCTGGTTCAGTTCTGGTTCAGTCCTGGTTCAGTCCTGGTTTAGTCCTGGTTTAGTCCTGGTTCAGTTCTGGTTCAGTTCTGGTTTAGTCTTGGTTCAGTCCTGGTTCAGTTCTGGTTTAGTCCTGGTTTAGTCCTGGTTTAGTCCTGGTTCAGTCCTGGTTCAGTTCTGGTTCAGTCCTGGTTTAGACCTGGTTTAGACCTGGTTCAGTCCTGGTTCAATCTTGGTTCAGACCTGATTCAGACCTGGTTCAGTCCTGGTTCAGTTCTGGTTCAGTCCTGGTTTAGTCCTGGTTTAGTCCTGGTTCAGTTCTGGTTCAGTTCTGGTTCAGTCCTGGTTTAGTCCTGGTTCAGTCCTGGTTCAGTCCTGGTTTAGTCCTGGTTCAGTTCTGGTTCAGTCCTGGTTTAGTCCTGGTTCAGTCCTGGTTCAGTTCTGGTTCAGTCCTGGTTTAGTCCTGGTTTAGTCCTGGTTCTGACCTGGTTCAGACCTTGTTTAACTTGAATGAAATTTGACACCGTATTTGTCAAAATTTTATTCAGCGCTTCATCTTGAGGCATTAACAACAAGACATCTCCATGGACACGAGCAGGTGGCGGACCCTGTATTAGAAAAGTTACATAATGCCTCTTTAACATCGCTCCCACCGCAGGGGTCAGCTATTTGTGCCACCTCTTTGGACCGTCCCTATTGTAATACACGCAGTAATGATCAGCTGTTACCCAAATACCAGCACGTTTGTATTAGTGAGGCTATGCAGGGCTCGTTACAGCGGCCGCGAGGTTGCTGGTTCAATTCCAAGGTCACAAGAGCCCTCTCCTCTCACTGTTGTGCTCAAACATCTCCACGGAGACCGGTCTGCAGTCCCTCTCTCTTTAACACGCGCTGTATTTTTGCTTTGCGAGATAAGAGGAGAGGAAGAGGAGGAGGAGAGCATGGAAACTTCAGCCAAACACTTAGGGTCACTGAGCTGTGGTCCGAAAGTGGAAAGAGAATTAGAGGGAGTATTTTTAGACCAGTTTACACATGAGTACTCGAGATACAGAGCTGTACTTCAAAGTAGAGTAGAAGTCGAAGTATCACAGTGTTGTTTTAGAGATTAGAAAGCATCTGCTACCATGATAACTTACTATTATTACTGCTACTACTTCTACAATCACTACTACTTCCACTACTACTACTACTAATTAGGGTTATAATGATATCCAAGTCTCAGGATACGATTTATGAAGCTTAAGGTATAATATTTATTACGATATTTTGTGAATTTGCTACTTTTTCCTCTTTAAATGCCTTGACTTAATAGATTTAATCCAAAGAACTAAGACTTAAAAGTGCTTAGAACTGTTATTTCATCATGTAGTCTGCATTGAAATGGAGCAAAGGATCATGGTCTATGTAGTTCCCTCTGTTTTTCTTTATGAGCTATTGCTGCACCATAACTCTTAATATAAGAAAAGAGACTTGTGATTCGATATATTGTGATGGTCCACAGTATTACAATATTTTGGTTATTGTTACATCCCTACTACTACTACTACTACTACTACTCTACTACTACTACTACTACTAATACTTCTGTTGCTGCTGTCACTGTCCAAATATGTATAAACTTAAGGGTTAGAATATGACCCACAGAGAACTTAAAGAGCCCATTCGCTATTTCCTGATCTATTTTCAGGGTTCCCAGAGTCATGGAAATCCTGGAAAAGTCTTGGAAATTAAAAATGTCATTTGCCATGCTTGGAAAAGTTATGGAATTTTAGTATCTCTTTCATGCAACTACAGTGTTCTGTTAAGTTCTCATTAGACTATTATGATTATTTCCAAACGTCTGCGCCTTTTGTTTAAAATAGACGACAATAAATGCACTGACAGTATTTTGAATGTTAAAAAACTATAATACCAAACCATAAGGTGAATGGAAAGAGTAAACATTTCATATTTAGCTCTAAAAGTCTGATCAATTCTACACATGTAGGTGCTGTAAAGTTATGAAAAATTCACTTTAGGTCATGAAAAAGTCATGGAAAAGTTTTAAATGTTGTCAGTGAAAAGGAGTGGGAACCCTGTGTTTTATATTTTCCTTATCAAAAATACCTGGAGCTGTGTTTTGTTTCTTTCATACATGTTTCAGAGTTCAGAGTTGTGAGAGCTCCACTGTGTTTTTAAACTCCATACACCTTCACTAGAATAATTTGAATGATTTCAGCCCTGGAATTTCCAATCTCCACTTAAAAAAAAAAAAAAAGCAAAACGTCGCTGTTAACTTGAACACTACCACTTCATGACATCATAAAGTGCAACGGAGCATTTTGAGCTTTGGAGATGCAGACTAATAATAAAGGATTACTGAAACAAAACACAACTCCAGGTTTGTTCTTGAAGAGGCAACATAACCACGATAACCTTTAACTAAAACAAAACTAAAACAAAACCAGCGACTATAACGCAAGACAACAGCTTAGTTTATGTCTAATTAAATTAAACTAGAGTATTTAAGACATTGCGTAGTGTAGCTTTCTTTAAACTTTCATCAGGTTCGCTAATAGTTGGATCCTGTTCAGAACACACATTTTAAACAACTCCAAAAGTGTTACTAATATTTGAAAGAAGACTGCAATCTGAACGGAAAAACGAAACAAAAACCCCACACATTTCAGAACACGTTTGTAGAAATGTAAACCACAAGCTCAAGGTTTTTGTATAAAAAATAGATAGATATGGAATTTCCCACGTACATTACTGCCGTCTATTGTGATTTTGACCAGGGTGTGAAATTATCTGAAGACTTTTTACGTAGTTAGACCATAAAGAGCTGACTTGGTAGCAACTACAAAAGGAAAGCTTGTTTGTGTGGTTAAAAAACATCTCTCACACTTAAAATTACAGTCACAACAATTTAGACAGTGCTTCCTAATGTGTGCATTGTGTCACCATGGTAACTCCTAAACATGCCACCATTAAAGATACATGTAGAACACCCCCGGCACGATGTCAAAACACAGTCATGTCCTCCTGCAGCAGAATCCGCCGCTGCTCTCGCTGCTCTGTCACTCTCATCAATGATTCACACGACAGTTCCTCTAGCTGCTTGACTCTGCGTTAGTCTCCAGGCAACTGAAACGCAATGCCCGGGCTTTGAAAGTCCCAGTGATGTAGTCTGGTCTAACAGTGTGTGTGTGTGTGTGTGTGTTTGTGTGTGTTTTTGTGTGTGTGTGTCTGCTGCTACAGGTCTGTGGACAGAGAGGGACATGTCCAAACCATCGTCCAACGTCAAAGCCCTGCAGGTAAGATTAACGTGTGGAAATGTGGAAATCTAAATACAAAATAACTCTGGATTAAGGGCACTGTGAAGTAGAAGTGCTACAATCATACTCACTCCTGCTTTATCTAGTTTTCCTCTCTGCTACCACCAATGTTCTCCAGAACTTTTAATGCAATACCTTCATATTTTAGCTGCTTAATCTTTGTATTTTGTTTATTTCACAGTGTCATATGACGTCTGTAATGATTGTCCATTGTTGTGGTTAACTTTGAGCTTTTTCACACTTTTTTTTTTACAAATAAGGAGGCAAATAAACTAACCTAACTTACAGTATATGAATTACTTGCACTAAAAGTCAGAGGTGACTTGGACTCAAGTCAGACTTGAGTCATTATTTTTAGGACTTGAGACTTGACTTGATAAAATGGACTAAGACTTGGGACTCGACTTGGACTTGAAGTTCAGTGACTTGGGACTTAACTCGGACTTGAGGCCTGTGACTTGAGAAGACTTGAGAAGCAGTTTTAAATCTGAATTCTTTCTATTCTGGCTATAATGATTCACATTAACACCTTATCAAGACGTTTAAAAAGGAAAAATTTGCATTTCTACAACTCCAATATACTCTGTAAATACTCATATAAATATACTATGATTTGTTTTAAGTACAGTTTATCTTAAAAGTCATAAGTCTTATAAATTGCAAACATCTAAATTGTATTTGGTACTTTGTTTAAAGACTTGAAATGACTTGAAGCAGATGACTTGGACTTGACTTGGACTTACTGGCCAGTGGCTCGAGACTCGACTCGGACTTGCTTGTCTGTGACTTGGGACTTGACTGGGACTTGAGGTCAGAGACTTGAGATTTACCTGAGACTTGCAAAACAATGACTTGGTTTCACCTCTGCTACAAGTACTAGGCTAGTATCATCACTACTACTAGTACAACTACTACTACTATCACTGCTACTATTAATGCAACTACTACTACTACTATCACTGCTACTACTAGAACAACTACTAGTACTACTACAACAAATACTAACCACTGTGGCTGTTTATACCACTACTTCTACTATTTCAGCTTCAGTGATTACTGTTGGTGCTCGGTTCTTTGGCATACAATTGTAGCTTTTTTTTTTTTAGTTAAAGGTGCACTATGTAACTTTTCTCATAGGTTTACCCTCCTGCTTGTCCGCACTGAGAGCTTTGCCTGGAATGTCCCACAGTATGGCATTAAACGTGTCCATGCTCAAAAATACTTACCTCTCCATAAACTCTCAGAACCTGCAAACTTGTTCTTTTCCATGTTGTCTCCATAAAGATACTGTAGATAAGTTTAATGCCAGTGTGGAACCTTCTAGTTAAAGCACACAATCTCCATGGAAACCAGTTCGTGGCGGATCTACAGCGAGAAAAGTTACATACAAGTCCAACACAAATAATTAGAATATCGTGAATGTTTTTCTCTCAGATTTCAGAAAGTCAAACCCTTATCCTAGTAGTTTCACACTTTTAAAAACACTTTTAAAAACACTTACACTTTTAACATGCGTAAAAAAAAGACCACGAGACACAAAAGGCTCCACATAGAAGAGTTTATTGGTAAAGGCAGGTTCAGATGTGCATATAGAGGTTCAAGGCATTAGCGCTGAAGCAGGAAGCAGCGTCTCGTGTAGATATAATGCTGTGTTTATCATGGCTTTAAGTGCGTCCGAGTCAGAACATGTATAGGCTTTTCCCGTTGAGTCTTTGTGCTCTGGTCTGGTCCAACCATGAGAGAGGCATCGAAAGGGCTGGAGTAGCAGTTTTACAATTAAATACGAGCTTAAGTTAAGTTCAACAAGGCAACATAACAATATCAAGTGTAATGTAAGTGAAAATATCTTACAAATTAACATATAAGGCCTCACATTTTAGTTCAGTCCTATCAGTTATATAGTATTTATATATATATGTGTATTTTGACTTTTACAAATATATGAATTTAACCATTTTGTACAACAGTTTGATCATATTAACCCATCATTACATTATTTAAATACAAAAACAAGACTTATAGAACGCCACAGTCCAAAAACGGACCAGTATCAGTGACAACATTCACAGACTAAAGCAACAATAAGTGAACAAGAGTGAAAGCAGAGTACACGTGTCATTCACAAAAGTGTTTCACAAACTTAGCAAATACAAATGTTCGCTTATGTGTCTTGACTAGAGATACTCGGACAAAGTGACAGTTTAGTGCGGAAAGTACCGGTACTATTAAGTGTTTTTCAAATGGGGTTAATAATAAATAGTAAAGTAATTTTTGACCAAGTCAGTGACCCGCTAATGTAATGTTAAGCTCATCTGGCCATCCGATAATTCATTTTAATACAGAGTTTCTCAATTTTTTCCTTGGGGACCCATATTTTAAAAGTCACAAATCTTCACGATCCAACTCAGTAAACATTATTCGTAAATCATTGTGACCATTATTGAATATTAATGAGGATATGTTATTGTTGACTGAGTGATCGTGTCTCTCTGAATAATCAGTACTGCTCAAGTTTTAAACAATGAAAAACAGTAATCAGTATTTCCCTCAGAAAATTGGTGAGGCAAGGTGATGCTACCGAAAAAGTGAGGAGTGGGGAAGGCGGAAAATGTTTTAATACGTTCTTTTTCAGACCAAGGTTTAGTTTGTGGTCATGTGATGTTGCTGTGACATGTCTGGACTATAAACCGGGACGAGGGGCCTATTTACTCTCACACACTCGGGATACTGTCCTGAAGAAGCCGGACTGTAGATGGCGCTGTTGTCATGCCTTCATAGATAGGAAGACAGCGCCAAAACCTGTTTACATCAGCTAATCGGATGTGTTTCAGCAACATCGCATGACCACTCTGAGGAAGATCGCTAGTGAGCAGCCGAAACTGTCAAGGATGAAAACAAACAAACAAATCTTGGTCTGAAAAAGAACCTATTAAAATAAGTTATAGGACGACCAGATGAACCTAAAATCTACATTAGTCATGAGTCACTGTCAGCTTGGTCAAAAATGACTTTAACTAAATAAAAGTCAAATCTAAGTTTAAGGAGATAGAAAAGCAAAGAAACAGCTCATACTTTGGTTCAGACTGGTAACTAAGATGTCCATGTAAACAAATTTATGCTAAAACTAAGATTTGCTCCACGGCAACAGCTGCCACTCCTTCCTTTGTGTCTTAATGGACGATGTTAAAACAGTACAGATATTATAGGCACATACGTATAACATTTTGTACCATGACAGCAACAAGTTATATTATTATTAAAGGTCCTGTACTTCATTTTACCGTCTTAAAAATGTGAAAAACAGAACTAAATAATCTTAAAGTGGTCCAAAGTTGTTCCTCAAGTTACCTTATGCATTCAGAGCATCCTAATCATTCAACGTAATGAATTTAAAAGCGCTTTTAAAAAATTTTGGAAGCCAGAATCGAATTTTGCTATCATGGAACAATAATTAGCATGCTACTGTGCACTTCCTGATGCTCTTATTTATGCTTACATAATATCTGTACTTGGACAAGACACATTTTTGCCCAAATACATGAGAACAAAATCAAGTACAGGACCTTTAAAGAAACTAGTTGAGCTTGAGAATATATTCAGGGGTTTCAAGTTATGGCAATGGTCACAACAATTAAGCAATTCAAAATAAAAATATTAAATCTTTCGAATGGGGAAAGGTCCTCACACAGTCTTTCAAATCTGTAAGGAAATATCTGTCTGAAACCCATGAATAAATCAAATTTTCCAATCAAACATTCTGAGTTATCAATTAAAAAATGAGTCATTAGGGGTCAGACATAATGTACACTTTGTGCCAGTTCTAAGCCTGGATAAACATAGGCATATACAGTATCTAAGGCTATGTTCAGACTGCAGGACTTAATGCTCAATTCGGATTTTTTTTTGTGAAATAAAATTTTTTTGTGAGTTTTGTTCACATTTCCAATTAAATGCAACTTGTATGTGATCTGCAGTGTGAACTTTAAATGCCCCAAAAGTGTCTCACATGCGCATTGGAGGACACGGAAGTCGCATAAACATGGACACGAGCATTGAGCACCTGGAAATTTTAAAGTTGCTGTCGTACTGAAGCCAAAACATGTACAGCTTATTTGTTTTAAGGAGGAGATTGAGAAGGAGAAGGACGAGGTTTTTGGCCGTGGCGTTTTGTGGGGCAGTGGCAGCAATGTCCGTCGAAAGGAACGTGTGGGTGATGTGGTAGGAATCGTGATGTGATTCGCTGCTTCACTCACACAGAGTTCATACACAATTTTCAAATGACGAGAAGAACGTTCGTGTACATTTGTGGGCGCTTACTTTTACCACTCTCGCGGGAGGAAACACGTCTTCAGCTTGTTGATGACGTGTAGGTGGGATGAATGTGACCTGGCCGTTCCGCTCAAGTCAAATGTCAAAAGATCGGATATGTATCGGTTTAAGGAGCACATATCCAAGTGGCCTGGGTTGCATAAAAAAAAAATCTAATCTGTGTCATTTAGACTGTCATTAAAAGATCAGATACCGGTCACTTAGGGGAGAAAAAAATCGGATTTGGGTCACTTCAGGCTGCAGTCTGAACATGGCCTTAGTAACATGAGATTAGGCAACAGTTAGATCATTATTTACTCCTGTCAAACACATCTTATCAGCGTAATTACCTAAAAACTGAGTCTTTGGTTGCAACACTGGAATGTGAAAAGATGATTGCCAGCGACTCGCAAAAGCAAACGACACTTACCAACGACTCATGCCCAAGCAGCGGCGAAACTTTTAGCAAACATGCCGTGAACTCTGAATGTCATACACTTAATATTATTGAATTTAGATAACTTAAATAGTCAGAACAGGCTGCCCCTCTCTCTTTACAACTGTACAATAATAATGCCTATACAAACAGTACAATAGAAAACATCAGGTTCAGACGCAGGCAGATTTCTGTGGTCTGTCCGTCCAGAGGATTTCCATAAAGTTTCATTAATCAAACATTCATAAACAAACATAAACAAAACCAGAGGCAAAGGAGAAAAACATTGGCCACTCATTTACAGCAGAAAGAGGAGCTTATTAATCCAGTAGTACAAGTAGCAGTAGAAGTAGTTGATGTAGTAGCAGTAGTAGATGATGTAGTAGCAGAAGTGGGTGATGTAGTAGCAGTAGTTGATGTAATAGCAGTAGTAGATAATGTAGTAACTGATGTAGTAGCAGTAGTAGTGATGTAGTAGTTAATGTAGCAGTAGTAGTTGATGTAGTAGTAGCAGTAGTAGTAGTTGTAGTTGATATAGTAGCAGTAGTAGGTGATGTAGTAGCAGAAGTAGTTGATGTAGTAACAGTAGTACTTGATGTAGCAGCAGCAGTAGTTGATGTAGCAGCAGTTGTAGTTGATGTAGTAGCAGTTGTAGTAGTAGTAGCAGTTGTAGTAGTAGTAGTTGTAGTAGCAGTAGTAGTGTGTATAGTGTAGCAGTTGTAGTAGTAGCAGTAGTAGTAGTTGAAGTAGCAGTAGTTGTAGATGTAGTAGCAGTAGTAGTTGATGTAGCAGCAGTTGTAGTTGATGCAGTAGCAGTAGTAGCTAATGTAGTAGTTGTAGTTGATGTAGTAGTAGTAGTAATTGATGTAGTAGCAGTAGTAGTTGATGTAGTAGCAGTTGTAGATGATGTAGTAGCAGTACTAGTTGAAGTAGTAGCAGTAGTAGTTGATGTAGTAGCAGCTGTAGTGATGTAGTAGCAGTACTAGTTGATGTGGTAGCAGTAGTAGTTGATGTAGTAGCAGTAGTAGTAGTAGCAGTAGTAGTAGTAGTAGCAGTAGTAGTGTAGTAGCAGTAGTAGTTGATGTAGTAGCAGTAGTTGATGTAGTAGCAGTAGTAGTTGAGTGTAGCAGTAGCAGTAGTGTAGTAGTAGCAGTAGTAGTTGATGTAGCAGCAGTTGTAGTTGATGCAGTAGCAGTAGTAGCTAATGTAGTAGTTGTAGTTGATGTAGTAGTAGTAGTAATTGATGTAGTAGCAGTAGTAGTTGATGTAGTAGCAGTTGTAGATGATGTAGTAGCAGTACTAGTTGAAGTAGTAGCAGTAGTAGTTGATGTAGTAGCAGCTGTAGTGATGTAGTAGCAGTACTAGTTGATGTAGTAGCAGTAGTAGTAATGTAGTAGCAGTAGTAGTGATGTAGTAGTAGTTGAAGTAGTAGCAGTAGTAGTGATGTAGTAGCAGTAGTAGCAGTAGTAGTGATGTAGTAGCAGTAGTAAATGATGCAGTAGCAGTAGTAGTGGAAGTAGTAGTAGTAGTTGATGTAGTAGCAGCAGTAGTTGATGTAGTAGCAGTAGTAGTTGACGTAGCAGCAGTAGTTGATGTAGTAGCAGTAGCTAGTTGATGTAGTAGCAGAAGTAGTGATGTAGTAGCAGTAGTAGTTGATGTAGTAGCAGTAGTACTTGATGTAGTACGATAATGCTGAAATCTCATTGGCTGTTGTGGCTGTCCGTCAGGCTAATTTGAACATCCCGATGGGGGCGCTGCGTCCGGGGGCGGGACATCCTGTTCGGAAGAAAGAGGAGACAACAGACACGCCAGAAGAGGTGAGAATTTAACTACATCCAGTTTACTGACATCAACACAAGTGAACAAACTGCCACACACGCTGATATCAGATACACAGAGACAGAGTAATAAAATGTAGGTAAAAATAACCCATAAAAAAAGGAAAGCCTGATAAATGATTTTCAAACCTGATTATAGGAGACCATTGTTTGCACTACAGTGATACAATGAGAAGAGTTGAAAAATACTATGAAAGACAAATATGGTGCATGTAATAATTTCCTCTTTCTACCAGAATGAGTTGTATAATATTGTATAAAGTAAGATATTTGTGAATTCAGATTACAGTGACATTCTACTTGTCTCTAGTTTATATCTTAAATCTGTGTTCACACTTCATAATCTAGACTAAACTGGGACTAAATTTAGAACTAAACATAGACTAGAGCAGGAATGAACCAGGACTCGAACAGAACCAATGCAAATCTACATCAGGACTTAACTAACCTCATCTTGGTCCTCTTTAGGCCAACTTTTAGTCTATTTTGTTTGAACAGTCTGATATATTTTTCTGGAGTTTAGAGCTGTATTAATGTTCACCCTCCGTTCACACTAGCACACAGACCATGTCAAAACTGGGGCATAACTGGAACTAAACCTGTAATTTAAGGACTAGACCAGGTCTAATTCAGGACTAGAACAGAAAATTGTTGAGTATTCTTCAGTTACAATCTCATGTGACCCCTGCTGGCTCTGTACATGGTAAACTGAATACTCTCTCTCTCCCACTCTCTCTGTCTATTTCTTCCTCTCGCTCCGTGTCACTCCCTCTCTCTCTCTGCCTGTCTCTCTGTCTCTGTCTCTGTCTCCCTCCGTCTCTCTGTCACTCTTTCTGTATATAACAGCAGCCCCCTCCACCTTCAGAAGAGCCCCCCGCTGAAGCCGAGACGCCGGAGGAGAAGAAGGTGTTGCCGGGGGCAGTGAAGCTCCCAGGTCCCGCTGTAAATCTGTCAGAGCTCCAGAACGTGAAGAGCGAGCTCAGATACGTCACCAAGGACTAACACACGTATGTCACACTATAACACTCATATAACTCAATCATATAACACTCATTTATGTTTGATATAACAGGGCACCAGTGTGGTGATGAAAAGATTTCTTTGTTTTTGTTTGAGCTGTAATGTCTGCAGAGAATGAGTATCGAATCTCCAATCAGTTTTCTACAGTGATAAAAGCCAGCAGCCCTATACTTAAAAGTGAAACATTTTCTTTAGCTCATAATTGCCATTTCAATTTTATCACTTAGTAAATAGCAAATTCTGCAGTTTTAATTTTATATATATCCATATATTACAGTGCTCATATGATTGGCCCTCAATGTCATCCACAGAAGTGACCTATTGTATTGATGTACTTCATACGTTTTCTAATGGAAACCTTTACACCATCTTTTATCCATGGAGAAGCTATTTTTGCTTGGAATGTTCCACATTATGGCATTAAAATATGGTTAATACTATCCAGTGGAACATTCCAGATTAAGCGGTAACATTTCGATCTCATAGTTCACCTTTAACTTTGCTCTTCACCAGCTTTACAAAGCAAAGCTAATAATAGCATGTTCTATGTAAATAAGGACAAATATAAAAGGTGACTCTATGATGACTTTGACTGTTTATAAATAGAAGCTGTATGTAATCCACGATAGTATTTGTTGTTGTTTATTTTTGTTGATAAAGTCTCCACACTGGTTGAGCGATTTCCTTGCCTGACCCACATGCACACAGGCCAGAGAAGAAAATGCAAATATTAGGCAAACTAGAACAACACAGTCAATCTTCACAAACAGACTCTTGTTTATATTATAACACATGCAAATAGTGCAGGGTCATCGGCTGGATAAAACCACACCACACAGTGTGACCATGGGCCCTGTAATATGATGTCATCAGAGAGTTACACATAAATAAATACTGACTGTTTAAAATCCCCAAAAAACATGTTCGATAAACTGGTGGTATTTTTGAGTCAATATGTAGGACAGATTTTGGTCATTTTCTTTTTTAATCTAATTTGAATTTGGTACAAACTCAGACCAAAGCCTTGTTTAACTACAGACTAGAGAGAGAAAGACACACACAGAGAAACAGAGAGACAGAGAGAGAGAGAGAGAGAGAAAGAAACACACATAACACACGCACAGAGAGAGAGAGAGAGAGAGAGAGAGAAAGAGAAAGAGAGAAGAAAGACAGCAAGAGAGAGAGAGAGAGAGAGAGAGAAAGACATACAACACACAGAGAGAGAAAGAGAGACAGTAAGAGAGAGCGAGAGAGAGAGAAAGAGAGAGAAAGACATATAACACAGAGAGAGAAAGAGACAGAAAGCGAGAGTGAGAGTGAGAGAGAAAGAGAGAGAGAAAGACACACAGAGATAGAGAAGAGAGAGAGAGAGACAGAGAGAAAAGAGAGAGAGAGAAAGGCAGAGAGAGAGAGAGAGAGAGACAGGCAGACACAGAGAGAAAGACACACAGACAGCGAGAAATTGATAGAGAGACAGACAGACAAACAGAGAGAGAGAGAGAGAGAGGGAAGAAGTTTTAACACACTTTTATTGTGTCTGTCAAAAACATATTTGATTGAATTCCATCCAGACCTCGTGCTATTTACATAAAAAGTATTTACAATTTATATATACATACTATTTACACTATTATACTGTTTTATACTATAGGGAGAGACAGAGAGACAGACAGAGAAGAGAGACAGAGATAGATGATACAGTAAAATTTTACTGTGCAGGTTTTGGGTTGATGGGGGAAAGACAGAACATGCAAACTCAGCCAAATCACCTTTGCATCCTTCATAGAATTTGGATCTAGAATGTACCTGTACTTTAAATGTCTGCGCTATAACTTATAGGTGTAACTTGTAGAGAAAAAAAAACAACAGCATATAACTTGTGTTTGTGCAGGAACGTGGTAAAACTGCACTTTGTAAATGTAATCGTACGATAGGGAGAAGAGGAGAAGGCTATTTTAAAAGCCTGGATCTCGCAGGGAGTTGAATGTGAGCACAAATTGATCTATGAGTGAGATAATGGGCCTCCGAAGAGCACCTTAAAATGCTACGGAGATAAATCAGAGTCGAGACGTAAACAATCCAGATGGGCAGCACCAAAATATAATATTACAGATTATTTATGGCTCAGTGAATGAAAGAAGTGATGCAGAGAAGACTGTATTTAGGGATTATTCAGGTAAATGCCAATGAGACAAAGACATATGCTTTAGGGACATGTTTAAAGGTGCACTGTGGAACTTTTCTAGTAGAAGGTCCACCACAAACTTGTTTACATGGAGATATTTTTGTCAATTACTGATGTTTTACTGCTCAAAAATACCACAAGAAACATGCATTCCTACAGTAACTGAGCTCGCCTCTCCACAGATCTGACCTTGTAACTTGGCCTGGAAGCATTGTGGGCTTGTCTCCATGGCTACAGATGAGTTTACCGCCAAAAAGTTACACAGTGCACCTTTAACTTGTAGAGGCAGCAGTGAAAGAAGAGTCTGGACAGAAATGCCACCACAGCACTGAATAGCTTACATAATGCCGTCGCCCACACAAGAAACATGACCTTAAAGACCCACTGCGTAACTTTTCTGGGGGGTCTGCTATGCTTGTTTCCATGGAGATGTGATTGCGTTGTCTGGAATGTTCCACAGTGTGACATTAAACAGCTCTACCTTACATTTATTCAATTACAGGTGGGTTTATAGCTCAAAAACACCCAGAAAAACTGAAATTTTGACTGTGATCGGGGTCGCTTCTCCACAGATCTGACCTCTAACTTGGTTTGATGATAGAAAGGTTTAATACCATACTGTGAAACATTCCAGACAAAGCAAGAACATCTCTATGAAGAAAAGCATTTTGACGGACCCTCCCCTCCACCAGAAAATGCACATTTAAAGAGACATTGTGTAACTTTTCTGGGTGGCTCTGTCATGCTTGTTTCCATGGAGATGTCATTGCTTTGCTAGGGATGTTTCACAGTATCATTTATCAAATTCTAGGTGTTTTAAAGCTCAAAAAGCACACTGAAAAACATGAACGATTATTCTCAACGGGGTCATGTTTCCACAGATCTGACCTGTAACTTGACCTGTTTATGTCACTGTCTCCATGGAAACAAATAAGACCATACTGCGGAACATTTCAAACAAAGCGGTAACATCTCCTTGATATATAAAGCGGCTCTTGAGGTAAAATAAAATGCCTTTAAACACTATAGATCCATCTTAATGTGATGTTTCTTCATATGTGCGTTACCCCTTTTGTCCACATGGGGTCAGTGTGGGCTGCTGCTGTGCTCCCTGTTCAGGCTGTGATGTGTGTTGTGTGTGTGTGCGTGTTTGTGTTGTGTGGGCTCAGGCCTTGACTCAGCCTGTGTTCAAACCCACAGGAGCGGAGCTGTGCTGATGAGTGTGTGTGATACTGGTCCCACTTCACAGCAGGACTCTGAGGCAGCCCACAGAACTCCGCTTCAGTCTGCGCTCTGTCCCCTAATCTACTGTGAGGGACACCAAACTCTAGAGCAACGCACTTTAGAGACCACACTGAGAATCTAATTAACGTTAAAAAGCTGGTGGTCTGATCCCAGCTCTGACTTGGGCAAGACACTTTACCCTTCGTCTAGAGATGGCTGGATACTAGGGGTGTAACTAAATCCAAGTCTCGATATCGTCACGGTATGAATCTCACGGTACGATATTTATTGCGATATCGTGGGAAAGCTCACGATATGATGAGGAGGTTCATTACGATATTCTGTGGAGGCTATTAAAACTGTTAATATGCTACTTTTTCCTCTTAAAAAAACCTTGACAAGACTTAATCCAAAGAACTAAGACTTAAAAGTGTTTAGAACTGTTATTTCTTCTTGTAATCTGCACTGAAATGGAGCAAAGGATCATGGTCTATGTAGTTCCCTCTGTCTTTTTTTAGCTATTACAGCACCATAACTTTTAATTTAAGCAAAGATACTTGTAATTCGATATATTGTGATGGTCCACGATATTATTGTGAGAACTTTGATGATACGATATCATGATATTTCAGTTATTATTACATCCCTAGTGAATACATTTCAAAATACCAATACTGAACCAAAGATGTTCATTTTGTCTTCCTATGTACTTTAACTTTCTGGATTCTTTTGTAAATACAATACTAATACTACTAATACAATACTAATTATATAGAATGTTATATTGACATGTAAAAAGAACCCAAGAAGTTAAAATATTAAAACTGTAAAAGTATAAAAGTACTGATTCTTGCGAAATACACCACTGGTCAAAAGTTTAAGAACACCATCATTTTTCCAGTTATTTATTGCAGTTCAAGTCCTGCAAGTCCAATGAAGATCTTGAAATGGTACAAAGTTAAGTACTGAGCAGCCAGAGGTTAAAATAAAATAACCATAACCATAACAAAACACAAGTCCAAGCTCTGCCAAAACTACCTCAGGAAAAAAAGAACAAGATGGTAAAGCTTGAAAACATGGAGTGTCCAGCACAGTCTCCACACTTAAACCCCATCGAGCTGGTTTGGGATGAACTGGACCGAAGAGTGAAAGCCAAACAACCTACAAGCGCCACACATTTATGAGAACTCTGAGACTTGGGAAGAACTTTCTGGAGAATATTTGATTTCTATTGTAAAAAGAACGAGCCACAAGTTTGTTCAGCTGTTACACAGTACCTGCCAAAGGTGGACACTTTCATTAATCAAAAGTTTGGAATACATTTTGGTCAACAGTAAACAGAAAGAAAATGGAAAAAGTGTGGTGTTCTAAAACCTTTGACCGGTAGTGTATACGCAAAAATATTGATACTTAAAGTCCTATATACTAAAACTGATACTTGTGAGTTTTATATTATGTTGCTGCTACATGGAGTTGTTTGTTTCATTCACACATGTTTGAGTAACCCTTTATTATTAGTCTGTTTACATCTCCAAACCTCAAAATGCTCTGGTCCACCTTGTGATGTCATGTTTCCAGGGCTGATATGACCCAAATGAGTCTAGTGAAGGTGTATGGAGTTTAAAAACACAGTGGAGCACTTCCTGTATTGCACACAACATCACAAGGAAGCCTAAATAAGCAGAGTTTGTGTGTTTAAACATGTGTAAATGAAACAAAACACAACTCCAGATCTGTTGCTGATGAGGAAACATTTAAACAGAGATTGAAAAATAGCGTAATATAGTAGTAGTTTATACTTTAGTTTATCTGGATATACATTTATTTTTTGTAGTTATCAGTGAGTATAGTGAGTGTTTGATCATGTCTTTCTCTTTTACAAAATTTCAGATTGTTTGTTTTAGAAAAAAAAGTGTACATATTTAAACATTCTGGTAAAGATTTGTCCTTTAGATTTGAAGGAGCTATAAGAACTTACAATGATATAAACCTAAAACTTTAGCATTTTATGGAGTACAGAAGCGCGGACAATAAGGTGGTAGACTGAGATAAGGAGCAGACACACAGAGGAGAATGTCAGATATGATATAGAAGATAGAAGTCCTCACACTGGAGCTGTCACCTCTCGCCACTGTCATAGTCTTATAAAACTTTAGTGACAAAAAAGAGAGATTATGAAATGTAAAAGTTGAAAGTTCACAAAGTAATCATAAAAAGTGAGTATGCTTTGAGATTTTGAATAACATTGTGGTATGCGTATCATCAAAATCTACTGGAAAGATGTGTATTTTTTGTAGTTTTTTGTATGTGCTCTTCATTTCAGGCAGTATGGTGTTGTACTTATTTATATATAATCATTTTATGAAAACATACATTCTCACATCTCTGTAGATTTGACTATAGTAACTTGGCCTGGTCGCAGAAAAATGCAGTATTTTTGGTTGTTTAAAGCAGACCTGTTACGCAAAACACCCCAGACTTTTCAGAACTTTTAATCATGTTATGGTTGTTTCTCCATTTACTCACTTGAAGTTGTATTTCGAGTGATTTGTACATGTCTGAAGAATCATTAATCACTTATTTTCAAGACGCTATACTGCCAATCATTCCATTTGCTCACCTGCTGCTCTCTACTTACTTTGTTCTCCACTTTTATTTACTTAATTCGTGATATGAGTAGGTACAAATGAAAAAAACAATCAGTACCTCGCTTCAGTGATCTACAGCTATCCATCGGAGGTGCAAGCAGCTACAGGGCTCTTTGTTGTGATGACGTTTACAGTAAATTCAGAGCACTGCAGATTTCTATCACGGGAAACTTTTATTAAGTCATTTTAGATGAATATTGTGATTTAAAATGTTCAAATAATATCATGATCTGAGACTGTATAATAAAGTGGACGAAGAGAGTGTGAGAGTTCAGCTTCAATCAAACGAAGCTCAGTTACAGGAGCGAATTTGAAGCCAGACTCCATATTTGGAAATCCGACCGCTAGAGTTGTAACAATAACTGAAATATCGTGATATTGTATCGTCAAAGTTCTCACAATAATATCTTGGACCATCACAATATATCAAATTACAAGTATCTTTGCTTAAATTAAGAGTTATGGTGCAGCAATAGTTAAAAAAAACAGAGAACTACATAAACCATGATCCTTTGCTCCATTTCAGTGTAGACTACATGAAGAAATAACAGCTCTAAGCACTTTTAAGTCTTAGTTCTTTGGATTAAATCTTGTCAAGGCATTTTAAGAGGAAAAAGTAGCATATTCACAGTTTTACTGACTCCACAATATATCGCAATAAATATCGTACCGTGAGATGTATTTTGTGAAAATATCGTACCGGGAGATTTGGATATTGTTACATCCCTAATCGTGAACCTCCCCACCATATCGTGAGGTTTCCCACGATATCGCAATAAATATCATACCGTGAGGGTCATACCGTGATGATATCATAACGGGAGACTTGGATATCGGTACACCCCTATCGACAGCAAGTATCATAGCAACCACAAGAGCCAATCATGACTGAGGTTGTTAAATGTGCCCGCAATCTCACCGGAAAGCAGTAAAGGGGTTTACTTAGCAGCGAAACGCACAAGCTGTCAATCAAACCTATTGATGACACTACCAGGACTGACCTCAAGGAATGAAGGCATCTAACTGGTCCGTTATTTATGTTCATATCTTGATTTATAGACAAAAAAGCTAAACAAAAACTCCAGGATCATGTAGAGCGAGTTAATACAAACATGTGTTGGGGTGTCTGGGGTGAAGGAAGTCTGGAAGTCCCTGCTTAGACTGCTGCCCCCGTGACCCAGCCCCGGATAAGCAGAAGAAAATGGATGGATGGATTCTCGTATTGTGTTGCCCTTTAAGAAACAAACAACAAACCAAATCCATAACATGTTCTCTTCTCGTCTTTTCTTTCCAGCCTTTATAGAGACTCAGAGGAAAATAAACTTCACCGAGACTGGAGCACTGCCACTGAAGCAAAGCCCACTCCAGCCCGTGATGTGACCTCGCACCTCGAGAATCTACAGGAGAACTATACGCGAGCTAAAGACATTCAACGATATCACACACGTTCAGCAAAACCTTCTTCCATTTCTTTTTGTACAATTTAATAACAGAATTACATGTATTTATTGGATGTTTTCAGATCGTAACTCCAGATATTCTTGTTAAACTCGTTTTGTAGATAACGGAGCTCAACAGTGATCGCCCACCTCCAGGTTTTGGGAATAAATTTCTTAATAAATTTTCCCCACAGACTTTCTGAAAAAAAAAAAAAAAGAAAAAATTTATGTTTGAAAGCTTGCTCACGGCTAATCAGCTATAAGTTAACTAATGACCACAAGACTTACAATTTAATTTAATTATGTTTAATCTATGTTTGAAATGTTGCAAAATTATTAAAGCATTTCAAAGAATCTTGTGTTTTTAAGTGCTTTTTAAACTTAAAATAAATATGTTATGGATATTAATTAGCATTTAGCTGTTCAGCCATCTTTGAACTAATATTTTAATTTGGAAAGTCTATGGGAAAAAAGAATGGAAAATCTACTTTTGGAACTGGAGCAGGAGGTCACTGTTGAGCTCAATGGGCTTCGTCATAAAAAAATTAATTCTATATTTCAGCTTCTAAAATACCAAATAGTAAGTAACAAAGCAATGTCCCTTTAAAGGTGCACTGTGCAACATTTCCGGTGGAAGGTCTGCCATCTGCTTGTCTCCACGGTGACGTTATTGCTTTGCCTGATGTTCCACAGTATGGCGTTAGTATGGCAAATATATCTTGTACTTATTCAGTTATAGGAGTTTTTAATTCTCAAATCTCCCACAAAAACATGCAAGATCAACACGCAGTTAAGCAGGTGGTGGACTCTCTACCGGAAAAGTTACACAGTGCATCTTTAAGTGTGGTCAACATGTAATCTGAAAGCAAACCAACAGGCTTCAAATTGTAAGTCCTGACACATGACTATACAGATACAGCTCTTTGTGTAAAATGAATGGATTTGTAATATGCTGCTCACGTTCAAAGGGAAGGTCAGCGTTTTGGCGAAGGAATATTTTTGTGATTATTTTTGAGTTGAAATAAATTATTATGGTTTTAACTAAATGTGGGGTATTTATTTATCTGATTTGCACTGTTAGTACACGACTCTATTCACGCTTAGGTCACAAGCCAGGAAGACAAATGAGAAAATGGCCCAGTTTTCTTCATCTCCATGTCATTGTAGCGTTCCACTATGTTCTGCTAATCAACAATTACAACCACACCTCAGTTTTCATCATTTCCCCACTGACAAACAACTCTGAGTGCACTGGGTACATGAAATAAGAAGAGATGAGGTGCCAAATTCAAGATGATTCCAAACAGCACATACATATGCAGTCTTCATTTTACCTCTGATCACATTTAATTCAATTGATTTTATCACAGTCGGCCTTCGGACCCAGTGTCAGTAACTACACCGAAAGTTGTAATCGCGTCTTTGCAAACGTCTTCTTGGTTTGTCATGTAGGCCTGAATAGAGCCCATAGTGTTGTCAAGTTAGTAGTAGTTAGTGTTGCCACGATACTAAAATTTCAAACTTGATTTCAATATTAAGGAACAGACTCGATACTCAATACAGATTCTAAAACAGAGCTTATACAAAACATTCTTTCTTTAGACAACAGAATGTAATTTTTAACATTAAATCATACTTTCTTATATATGACCATGTGATCTCATATCTGTGTAATCCCTCAGTGGTCCAGGTGGTTCCATAGTGGTCCGTGGGTGTATACTAGTCTAGGTGCTCTTATACTTGTTCTGATACAGCTCAAGATTATTTTCTGGTCTGTGAATTTGGCTTTTTTAGTACTGATACTTGTTCAAATGAATCTCTAGTTTCGATGCTAGTTTTAGGATCAATAAGTGTACTTTTTTTTCTTTTGACAAAGCTACTTCCATACAGAAAGAACAAAAATGTGGCTGTTTGCTGCAGGTGTTCCAATCAGTGGGAGCAGGCACAGGGTACTCTTAGAAAATGGATCAAAACTAAAACACAATGAACTCCAGGCACTCCAAAGAAGTAATAAAAAGTTTTTAAAAATCGCATGAGGAAAAATATTGTTAATTTAAATGGCCAAAGCCAATATGTTTTGACCTTAACTGGTCTTCATCAGGGCTACTTCCATACAGTTGGCAATGTTATGATGACAACCCACTCTACAACTGTGGAATCTTTTAATTTCAGATTCACTGAACATCTTAAAGGTTCATTGTGCAACTTTTCTGGTGTAGGGCTCGTCAAATACTTTTCTCCGAGGTTATTGCTTTGTCTGGAATGTTTCACAGTATGGTATTAAACCTTTCTATCTTCCAAACGAGACAAGTTACAGGTCAGATCTGTAGAAAGGCAACCCCTCTGTCGGTCAGAATTGGTGTTTTTCTAGGTATTTTTGAGTTATAAAACCACCTGTAATTTCATAAATGTAAGGTAGAGCTGTTTAATGCCATACTGCGGAACATTCCAGACTGAGCAATGACATATCCACAGAGAAAACTATCTGACAGATTCTCCACCAGAAAAGTTACATAATGCACCTTTAAATCTCCACCACTGTTCACAATATGGCCATTAAAGATTGAAACCTATTCATGAGTTTTTTTAAGCATAACGATTTGTTTCTGATTTGAAAGATTTGTCATGGCAACAGACCTGCATGTGTTGTTATAGCAATAGAGCAAGTCAAATCGAATTAATCTTTTGAATGATGAAAGGTCCTGACAAAATACTTCAAATCAGGAAGGAATCATTTGCCTGTAGCTCATGAATACCACAGTGCATTATATTAAAAAATCAACCCAAAACAAAACAAAATGCAAAAACGATATGCAAATGAACGGTCGGCTGATGATGCAGTAGTGACCTCGAGAGGGGTAAACCAACAGAAAGAAACGTCCAAGGATGACAGATCATTTACATAATTTATTTTGCATGGCGTTTGCAAATAGAGCTGGGAGCTACAGGTTCACTTTCTATGAAATCTTTTTCCAAGTAATTATCTTATGAGGATTTGGCAGATAAGGTGCTGAGTTTGTGTCTGGGTGTGTGGGTTGCTTCTGAGTAGTCCAGTTTATCCCCATTGTCTTAAAGATGCACTCTGTAATTTTATGATTAGGGGTTCATCAACTTCTTATGCTGCGTTCGTTTATCCATCCGTCTCCCACTCGGATCTCGGCTCCAACTCGGAGAAAAATGTGGATGCCAACTGGAAAGCTGTTGTTGCTTTAGCATTGGCCGAGTACCAAGCACTCCAAAATAAGTAAGTGCTTCAACTACACAACCTCAAGGAAGAATTCAGTATAAATAGTACAATTCAGTATATTAATGAAGTGAAAGTGCTGGTGTTGCCCAATAGTCGATCATTTTGGCAGAAAATGGGCTAAAAACATGAGCAACTACCAAACCCATAGGCAGTAATACGGACGCAGTAAGATATTGCAGTAATACGAGTGACGGAAATTGTAATTTAAACCACCAAAGCATCCAAACACAATGAAACCTGTTCATACTGCAAGTGACACTGGGCGCAGCAATCTTGGATGCTATCTTGGAAGCAGTGTGTGTCGCTATAGGCAACGTCCTTGGACCTCCGAGGCAGATGGATAAACAAATGCAGCAATATCCCATGGTGATGTTGTTAGTTTCCCTGGAATGTTCCACGGTATGACATTAAACATATCCATCTAGCATTTATTCATAACAGGTGTTTCTATTGCTCAGAAATATAATAATTCTTTCTGTGAATAGAGCTGACTCTCCACAGATCTGAACTGTAATGTAGCGCAGTGCTGTGTCGTGCTTGTCTCTCTCATGATAGATTAAGATTTAATCTATATTGTGTGGAACATTCTAGACAAAGCAAAAGCATTTCATGGAGACAAGCAGGTGGTGGACTCTGCACTAGAAATATTATGCAGTGCATCTTTAAACAGTGGTTCAAAAAATAAAAAATAAAAAAGTTTAACATTACTTGAACATAATATTACTCATGTAGAAAAACAGTAGTAGTAGTACAAGAAATTACTCAAATGAGAATGAAAATTAAAACTACTACTCAATTAAGAGTAACTTAAACTACCAGGACATAATACAAATAATAATAACAATAGTATTTTCAAAGGATAGACACAAAAAAAAACAAAAAAACACTAAATCATATCTGAAGATTGGTGCAAGAAACACAAATGTTCAAATCAAAATAAAGCGTTTGTCACCTACTGAAATAAGATTACTGTTACTTGTAGGGCTAGGTATCATTCAGACGTTGCCGATACGATACATACCTTGATACAGTGCACTTTCGATTCAATGTATTTCAAATCGATTTGAAATATTGATATTGATTTCAATTCGATACGGTTCAATAAAAAATAATGGCTAATCATGGTTGTGACACTAAAAGTCTTTGTTAAAGCACTTCTTTTGCAAAGTTCATAAGAAACACGAACATTTTAATTATAAAAAACTGTGAAAATGTCAAATGTGTCGCAAAACTGTAGCGATGTAACAAAACAATTTAGTAAAATATACCAAAAAATACTCTTGGTGATATATCGATACAGCAGCCTACAATATTGATACTGTATCATCACATTAAACAATACGATATATTGATATTTTGATATTTTTGCACACTCATAGTTACTTCTATAAAAATACTCAAGCAGGAGTAAAAGTATGCTGCGTATTTCTCACCTCAAATAGGAACAATAAAGTATTTTCAACAACTTTATCATGTAGTATTTTAGTACAGATGACCATCAATCACACTCAGTTTTCCAAGAACGAATTTTCTGATTAGATATTAATACTCAGATCAAAATATTGAATCATAAATAAAACCCGCTAAATTAACTATACCAAATGAAACAATGGAAAAGTGACCGTAGAGTCTGAGTATTGTCATATGTATTTTCTATTGTTGACAGCTAAGCAGGCGATAGGGAAATAATCTACCAACACCTGTCCGAGGCTACGCATGGAGTCCATATAATCCGAGCTAAACCTTGAAATCCTGCTTCCCTTTTATGTAGGAACCCACATACCACCGCACAATGACCTGGGTTACATCTGTGAACACGTCTATCCAGACCTAATAGAATAACATGGAGCAGCTGTAGCTAAATTTAGCCTCAACGCCGCCAATAGCCTGAGAAATACATCAGCACGTTAGCATGTTAGCCTAGCGTTGGACTCGTGTGGGAGGCTTTAAAAACATTAGCATCTCGAAAAGGTGCTAGACTTTTATGCTTATGTATCGTGACTGTAGCCTGCATGGATCTAAACCGGGCTATTAGCGATATTTCACATGTACAAAAGGCAAAGAGGTGGGAGTGTGTCAGATTTGAGGTAAAGATAGTCCAGGAATAACATGTTTTTATAGAGATGTTAGAAAATACAGTGAGCAGACGTCCCTGTTTATCCGGGACAGTCACAATTTTGAGCCCTGTGTTCCCTGTCCCAGCAGGTTTATACAAAACCATTGATTTGTCTCAGTTTTATACAAAAATGTCCCAGGTGACCCTATTTTTAACCAACTTGATCCCTGCCAACTGTAAAAAGAGGCATAAACTCACATTTGTTTAAGTAAAATATAGAAAAGCTGTTTAAAAATGACCAAAAAAAACAGAGAAAATGTGACTATGCTGACTCACATGTTAGTATGAACAGACCGATTGCAGAACATATCTCCTTAATTACGCACTCATTTCACAATCTTATTATTACCAACCACCCAAACCAGGGTGTCCCAGTTTTTCATTTTGAACCCCGTACGAGCCCTCCCTTGTTCGCTGTTCGAAAGTCCAGAGTCGAGACGAAGGGTAATGGCGCCTTTTCAGTCTGGGCTCCTCGGCTTTGGAACGACTTGCCTGAGGAGATAAGACTCGCACCATCAGTATCATCTTTTAAATCACTTTTAAAGACTCATTCTTATCAGTTGGCCTTACTTTAACTGGATTTAGCTTGATTTGATTCCTTATTTATTATAATTTATTGGATTGTTTGCATCATTGTCTGTTTTTGTTTGCTTTTTGCATGCTATGTTTATGCTTTTTGTATT